TGTAGCAGTGGTGATTATTTTTACAGGATGGGGTTGCTAGCCTCATGCCTAACCTTCCCTCTTTACCAGTCTTACTACTGGCCTAGCGAGGTAAAGTAGTGCGTCGGCCGGGAATAGAACCTCAGACCACCTGTGTGGTCAGTGAGCACTCTACTGTTGTGCCATCGACGCACGATCATTATTATTAGTATGATATTATTCATTTCTTGACTTCCGGGTGCAGCACAGGGTCTCAGCGTCATTTCTGCACTGCACTCGATTCTCTGCTATCAATTCTAATTGGCTCCATAACTATCCCAAAGCTTTCATTTCTTCATCATATTGTACCACAGCCTAGTCTGAGTTTGGACTCAGTTAACTGGAATGGAGTTTTTCAGCACCAGGACATGAAATACACTTATTTTCCAAAGGATGATGTTACTAGCCAGTCACTCAGGCTGAAACAGATGCAGCTGCACTTAGACCTGGTACTTACTGGCTGGAAGTTGAGTGCTTAGGCCAATGAGCCACTTGTGGATACTACCTAAAAATTGGCAAAAAATATTTCCCTGCCCTTCATCATGAGATTCGAAACATGGATTAGTCAACTGGTAACCTTGTATAGAAATGGTTCTTTTGCGTGATACACTTTTTGGTTTCAGCGCGCTAAAAGTCAGACTGAAGTTAGCTTTATTAGTCAATAAAGACACAGTGAAGCGTTTTAAAACATATCAGTTGATTTACCCTAAGTGCTGATTACAATTATGACGTTCAGTATGCCTACGAAGGTTATTTGCTCTTCATTGACAGTCCTTTGCTTGTGAAGAATAATGTGTGGCTCTACAGTCCTACAGTCTTTTAGCTGTTTCCTTTAAACTTTTGTTTTTTTAGTAAAAATACTGACGTGGTTGTGGAAGAAATGGATTCCAATTAGCTATGCATTCATGAGTGAAGTTGATCGAATTCTACACCGTTAACTAATTTCCATTTTCTGTTCATATTTCAATGGTTTTGGTTTGCGTGAATTGACATTTACACTTCCACTAACATTCATTTGTCTGAATAGGTTCTTAAAAAAGGCATACATGATTAATTCTTCTCTATGACGTTGTATACAATTCAAAATAAGAATAAATATTGCGTCTATTGCTCGGAGTAAGCTGTTTGCACAATGCCAAAGTGCAGAGTGGCAAAGAAATAAACAAGGTTTAGAAATAAATCACTCACAGTGTGAAGGTGGTGTACAACTACCCTGCCCCGACTCTTAATCCATCTAGGCTAGTGAAAGCTGAAAAGGGTTTAAGAAAAATGGCTGTTTATCTTATGCGCATTCAGCTATCACACCAACCACGTATTTCGAACTTGAAATGAATTGAGGGACAATATTATGAGTCTAGTGAATACTTTTCAACGGATTTGTGTTTTTACACACCTATAAAGATGATCGTTTGGAGAGAGATCAGTCTGGATGGACAATATTTCTGTAATCTATAACCCGTGTAATGCGTGTATTCAAGTGGCTACACAATGAAGCCCTGTTTTTATTTCACATTGAATGATCAGTTAACGTAATATTCTTTTTCAGTTATCAGTAAAATTTATGTAATACTGGGAATGGGATAAATCATTGAATCTAAACATGCATGATGTTATTGACTTTAAAAGTACACTTCACACCTTTATGTTTTTGTGTTTACATTGAAGGTAAATTGTTTTTATTACTGTAAACTTTTAAAGGCAAACAGCATGTATAAAATTGTCAGGAAATCACAGGGCATGCATCGGTTGCATTAACCACAGGGATTGTTTATCTTGGTTTAGTGTTCATATGTTGCATCTTATGGTTCACATGTAGTAAATTTTATTCTACACTCAATGTGACTCCTTTTTACGCTGAATTTTCATTTGTAGACTGGGAAAAGCGTTACTTATTTGAAAACTAAGATTTTTTTCTTTTGGTTTTGTTTATAAGACTGTAAGGGTTGATTCCAAATTTGAAACAAAACACACTTCTTTTCGACTTAACTACTATTCACAATTAAGCTGACTTCATTGAATCACCGAACTCAAATTATAGATGTCCTTATTTTGAAAAAGGAAAATTTTGTTGCATTTGTTTGTTTATGGCTTATATAGACAGTATAAAGACAGTGTGAAGTGGGTAATCCCACCTCGAATGTATGCCTTCAGAGTATCTTGAAATTTAAAATACTCAGATGCTTTTGTCCTGAAGTTTGTTTTCTTCAAAAGAATTAACAAGCATATGCTTTGGTTTTATTGTGAAAAATGGAAAAATTTGTAAGGAAATTATTCTTCCTTATATATCCAACATTTACATTTTAATAGTACAAGATTAGTAATCCAAATTCAAGTTGACTAATGAAGAAAAAGTTGATTGTTTCGCTTCAATTAGTTTGCCTAGGATAAATAATCAACCCAGCTGGTGAATGATGTACACAATATGATTAACAGCTGTCCGCTTAAGCGCCCTGTTTTTGTCTTGCCTTTAAGACACAGATGAGGTTATAAAGTTGTATGGATTAAAATTGGGTTACAAACTTTAATTTATTCGTTCTAATACATTTAAAGGAAATGTAGGAATTCTGTTTTAGTCCGTATTCATTTTATCATCTCAGAATATAGTCTGCATAAATAAAGTTTCCTATCCTGTTTCAATGAAAAGGGCTGCGATCAAACTGCCTGATCATAGAAACTAAACCATAAATTCTGGTATTACCATCTTTGTATTTCGCAAAGCGAACTCAGAGGAAGAGAAATCATAGATAATATAACTGTTTACTCCTTCATCATTGGTTGGATAGGTTTATAAGCCTACAGTGACTGAAGTAGCGGTGGCATGTTCAGTGCATACCTGAATATCATTTGCCTTGTTATGTTGACTGAGATATGTGTAAGCTGTAAAAAAGACAGCTGTTGAGCCAACAAAGGATACCAGTGGATGGAGTTATGAATTCTACATCTGAAACCTGAGAATGAATATATGTAGCTTAGTTGACATTTTCAGTGTAATTGTTTCAGATAACTGTACCATCCCTATGATACAACTCAGAAATGATTTCCCTTGCCAAGTTTCACTTGCTCTTTGTCCACAACATACTCCATATATCATATTTCTTTGTTCGTTCAATTTTTTTTTGTCTGAGTATATTTCAGGTCTTTCGATGACACTGTTTTATTTTGCTGTTTTGTCTCTGATAACCTTCCCTTTGCAGAAGGCATATATTAAAAGTGTAATTACTATAATCTACGTTTTTGTTGTATGTCTTTCGTTTCACTCATAACACAACAAACATAATTCTGATAACGCTGGTACCATATGATTAAAAATAATTTTTAGTTTATATAGTGCGAAGGTGGTTCAGTGTAAGAATGCTCGCCAACCACAGAGCAGTGCTGGTAGTATGTTCGGTAAAGGAAAGAGAGCTGGCGGTGAAGCTAGTAAACCCATGATTCACAAGGGTTCCGTACGTTTTTTAAATTTGACAACCAGCCCTGATTGTGAGTCAAACTGTTTTCGCATGCCTGAGTCTTTTTCATAACTGAATGTCATACAGCGTTTTCCTTCTATAGTGGGCAGCTGTTTCACTCCAGCTGGTGATCACAGTGTTTACTCAATCTAGAGACGAGCACAGTTTGAGTGGAAATAATTACCAGCATCCTTAATTTAAAGATATCTTACTCCATTCTGGTGAGATTTGATGCACTACATTTTGTATTCTCACTTAGTGTACATTAAGAATGTCATTTAGAGTTAATAGGGTGAACATGAAAATCAACAGTTGAAGGGTTATCACCTTTTAATTGAAATTTCCTTCATTAGTGTAAAACATGGAGATTCGAAATATTCGTTTTTACTGCACCTATATTTTTATTTACCAATAAGCAACAAATGTTAAGTATAAATTGATTAAAACTTATGAAGAATCTCAAGAATTAGCATTGTTTAACTACACACATAATATCCATTATCATCGTCGATTAAATATTCGCATATGAGTGAACACATCGTTTTATAATATGTTAATTAAGTGAGATATTTTATTGAGGCTGTTGTTTTTTGTCCCACTTCTGTTAAGTTCGCCTCACTTTTCTTGTACACTGTTAATAAAACTACAAATTTATGTTTGTTTTTTCTATTGTTCACATTTTTTTGTCTTGGTTATAAATTATCCTACTACGAACGATCGAATAACAATAATAATTATTATAATGAAATCCAAAGAACAATTAATGATGTGCTTCACTTGTTTCTTATTGTCCAGAAATGTATGCTACTACTTATGAATAGACACTGGGTATAACAGTTTTTAAACATGATAAGTGTTCATCAGCCTCTTCATTATCATTTATTCCTTCGAAAAATACTGACAACACAAATAGTAAACTTATGAAGAGGCTTTCTGTATTCGAATATACAGTGTTCTGAAATCTGGTATAACTGTGCAAAATATAAACGGTGTTTAAGGACAATGAACAGAAAAACATAGTCATTATTTGTTGACAAATTTTTGTGGATTAAATACAGTTTTAATTGAAGCCACTATGTCTAAACTTTTTCCGAGTATACACATACACTCGGCTTGTTCTCCTGTTTTTTGTGTATGAAAACAGAACTTCGAAATAGCAACATGGAATACACGGCTGGTTGATATGAGCAGTTGGAAAGCACTCACACCAAACAGAGGTGACATTAACACCTGTCTGCTGTTTTTTGTCTTCAGCGACCGACCTCACTACTGTGTACTTGAGCTGACAGCTCAGAGAACGGAATCAGTACAAACAAATTGAATTCTTCTAGCAGTCTAAATAAGAGAACAGGTAATACATAGATAAGAATTTATTTGAGCTACTGAGGTGGCCACATGTTGTTATATACAATAACATTTCTTTCAACTTTTTGGACGTTATAATTTATCCTTTTACATATTGTCCTCTATTTATTATTAGTATTAGTGCATTTATATTTTGTACACACAATTCGCTTTCGTTTCTGAATTCAGAAAACGGAACAGTTTATGAAATGATGTTGAAAGATATTCCTGATTCTACAATAACAAGATTTGGTATAGCTGTTGATTACACTGTAACTGTGACACCAGTATTCAAAGGATTCGACGAGAAATTGACTTCACATGGTATGGCATCCGTACTTCAATTTTCAATGGGTCTAAGGGGTGAGTTAAACATGTAAAACTTTGTCCTCTCGTTTTGTTTCTCATCCTGAATATGTATTTCCTGGTTCAGAGTGTTTTGAAACTATGATTTTCGTTGAACCATTTCCTTGCCTGTTTATGACAACTGAATGAAACTGTCATGAGACTAAAATGAAATCTTTTCTTGTGTTTTTGTTGTAGTCCCACATGTGGTGATATGTACGTTCTTAGAGGGGACAATTGGAGATAAACATTACTGGTTTGACATTACGATTCTCAATTTTCGTAGGGTTTTAGTATTCACAAAGGCTAAATTTGATCAAATTACGCATTGTCGAATGGATTACAGTGACATAGCTGTGCTGTTTAAATTAGTCAGATTAGCAGCAAACTGGTAGTTTGAAAAGCGGTGGTGTGAATCCTTCATCAGTAAACGTTTTGTTTCAATCTCCTGTTACGTGCCCCTTTAGATTACACAAAAGCCCTGACTTCATTCTCCCAATAGATTTTATTTTATATAATAAATCCACAGTTCGTGAAAACCATCATAACAACAGAGTAGAATTACTCAACCCTTCCTGCCTTTATCTCATTGGTCATTTTGATTTGTGATTCATCCATTCAGCCAATCCCTATTTGTATGAAGATTTTGGGTCATCCAAGTCATTCTAATAAATGCAGCTAGAAGTGTATTTATAGGAAAACAAATCATTTAACCCAAGTGGATTTATGAGCAGTTGCTTAACTGATCTTAGTTATTCCATTACGGTCAAATCACCGTATCACAGTTTCTTACACTCTATTAACCGTAAAGTATACAAATCTTAATGTTACTACTGCAAGAGTAGAATTTGGGCACTATGGTAGAGTATAATTCTATATTAGAAAAGTTCACTTGATAAGACACACAGTGATACATTGCTAATAACAGTTATCACTGTAACACTGTGCTATATTAAATAAACTGATCTGATGTGAAGGCTTAATGTTCTCAACCCATAAATATGTTGTATGCAACTATTAATGTATTCTAACAAAATGTATAGATACAATGAAATGATTTATTTACTTTTTAATCATGTCTTGTACCATGACCCAGGTCAAACTGAACTTAAAGCTCCAGCATCCGGTCGTTATCATTCAATACAAGTTCAAGTTAAACCAAGTCAAACAGCTAGTTGTTTGAATATGGAGACGTTCAAAACACAGTTCATATTGAGAGTGGTCGGTGAGGAAGCTGAATATCCAGATTATATAGCACAAGTGAACTATGTACCAATCACAACAAAATCTCCGGACACTATGGATCTGCATAACTCTGTAAAGTCGTATAAAATTGAAAATCTTCTACCTGGAAGGCGATATGAATTACAGGTGAGTGAGCCGCTTCACGTACAGCTTAAACACAGAGGGATATGATCAAGTTATTCTCATACATGATTAGTTTCTCTATCTCTAAGAAGGAGTAAAGAAAATGGATTTTCTGTTGGTAACCAACCGTAGTCTGAGAGTAGAAAACTGTATGAAGAGAACAACATGCATCATTACACATCACCACTGCCAGTCTAGATTTTATCAAAACCTGACATGATTCATGGAACTATTGAATACCTGGTAGCGAGGTTGTTTGATGTTCTCTCATAGACCCAAATTTGAAACAGTAGACATGTTTCAGAAAAAGTGGGCGCATGGTCAAGAAAAGCAGACAGCCTCAAAAAGCTAACTTGCATCTATAACTTTATCGGATTTAAACTTCTAAACCAAAAGGTGACACCTCATTTTATCAGTAGCTTGAGTATGGGATACGAAACATCCATACTGAGTTACAATGAGTTAAGCTAGTTTGCTTTGTTTCATTACTTTTGAAGTCGGTAACTGTTATAGACGTTATGGTAACTAATTACCTCAGTGTTCTTTTTTGAATTAACCTCTCTCACATTGTTTAAGCCTTCACTGAGAAAAAATAACTCTTTGAAAATTGTAATATGGGGCAGATAAATACAAGAATTCTAATTAAAAGCATGATGGTTTTAGCTTAACTCTTGTAATCTGAATAACTTCAATTTTCAAAGGAATTTTCACCTCGAATTGTGTAATTTGAGAATTTCGAATCTGAATTTATATGTTACTGGTTTGCCCAAGTAGCTAACCAGAATTCGACCCTTTGAGCTGAGTCAAATTCGGTACACAGCTGAACTTGACCACAAACTAGCGAAGCGGTCTTCCCTTTTTTAGGTCGCTTCAAACTGGCTGGCAGGCAATACCGGGTTATATGAGTTGTTTCCGACCACTCATGTCAACCAGTAACATACACCATCCAGTTTCATATATATTCCGGTCGATATTCAACAAGCTTCGTTCTGTGTAGATTCTTTTCAAACAATCCAGATTTTAATAAGCCACTAATAGTTACAATTGTTTTGATGAACGATATTAACAACAGCTACAGGATGAGAAATACACTAAGCGTTAATAAAATAGAAAGAAATGACGAGATAAGAGAGTGAAACATATTAACATATTGAGTATAAAACGTTCAATCGTGAATAATAAAACAAAGTGATATGGCACTTTATTTTAAACCATATGACCTTGACTGTTGATCATCTCCTGTGTCACTGAGCACTCTAAATTCCTCTGCGTCAATTACTGAACTGGTTAGTGATCACCAGTTAGTAATTCGATATCATAAACTCAGCAGTAGATGAAATCCAGTTAGTTGTCTTTCGAATTAATAAATGAACACGGTGATTTAGTTATGCTAGACTACTTAATAAAACGAAAATATGATAGTTGGTTAGATACTGGCATCTATACAAAACCGTCACAATCTAATAGATCCTTGGAATTTGAAGCATCCCACCGGAAATCTGTAAAGATAGATCTAGTCAGATGTATATGTAATTGAGTCAGAAGCCTGTTCTACAAAATAAGGTAGGTCACTGCAGTGCATTCACTTACATGAAATCACACAATGGGAAAGGATAGGGTAAAAGTGGTTAAAAGTAGTATATTTCTTTGGAGAAAGGTTAATCACTGAATTTTTGTTTATCAAATCAACGCCAAACATGTGTAATCTAAACGATTCAACATCTATTCTGGATATATAGAAAAATGCAATTAAAAGCAATAGGGTGTAAGGGTATGTAGAGCAGCTTGTGAAGTCTCGAGAATACATTGGTACGTATGATTACGAGCAATAAATTGTGATCGCAACATCATCCAGTTGTTATCACTGTCTCACTAAATTGCCAGCAAAACACTCATTCAAACCATGAATGTTTACATGAGAGAATTAGATTATTTCTACAAACCTTATGGGATAGTGTGGTATTTTCCACCTTTTTACAATAATTTTTATAGTTTATAATCTGGTTGAAGATGTACCTTCACTTCATAGAAGAGGATTGTTAATTGTAGTGCGAAACAGATCAAACTTCTCAAAGCTAACACAAACTGTAGAATAGTATCTTTCGCCCCTGTGTTTTTTTTTTAACTCTATAGTACAAACAACCACCTGTCTGTAGCTTAATATTCATTTTTTTTTCCTAATATGAATTCCAGTTCACTTTCAGCTTAATCGATAGAAAAGTGTTTATATCCTTATCCTAATAATTCAATATATTTTTTTTCCTGATATCGACATTTGTCTGTGTTCTTGGTTCGCCTAGGTAAATGCTCTCTTAATACAATGTGTTATTCAGGCAAATGTCATACAAAATATTATTGAAATCGATTTCTTAAAATTGTTTCCGTCTAAATTTATTGGATTTTTTAATTTACTATAATTATTATCTCTTTTTCCCTCTACTAACTATAAGGACTTAAAGTAAATACGTATGTGACTAAAATTGTTCAGTCATTATAAATTACTGAGACTTTTTCACATGTATTTTCTTTGATTGAATTAAACTTTTAGCACAAGCCAAAAGTTTGTTCCATGTGCATCTGACTACTTATTATGCTGCTAGTAAAATAACTAGTTATACAAAAGTTTTGAATACAAATACTCACTTCTGTAGTAGCAATGCACCAAGAAGTTAATTCAAACTATTCGAAAACTAATCCGTGTTAAGTGCGTAACTTACAGGTAGTCTACAAATACAAGGGGCAGAGGGAGAAAAAACGGAATCCAGTGTGACTGGAATGTAAAAAAGGAGCCTCTGTATAGTAGTAGGATTGGTAGTAATCTTTCACGCCTCCAAATGACATAACCACATAAATATCCATTGAGATATCCTTAAGTATATTCAAAGGCTACACGACATGGATATTTTGTCTCCTCGCCTGCCACATTCAACTGTTTGAGTATGATTCCTAATATTTTCAAATTGTTATAAAATAATTAAAAAAAGATGGTTGCAGTGAAGAAAATTTTCTTTTCGACGAAGTCACCAACTAGGTTGTACGTTCGTGTATTTATAGGAAATGAGTGAGTATGTTTCAGAACTGTTTCCAGCCAACGGTCAAATAAATAAAATAACAAAGTGTAATACACAGAAAGATAGGATGAAAAACGTAGTATATTCATTATCACTGAGAAACTTCACAGTTGAATATGGAGTTTTTATCCTGTGTTATCCTCTCATGGACATATTTAATGAATCTTTTCCCAGAAATGTCGTGCCAGCCGTTTGGAAGGACAGTAAAATTTTGCCTATACCTAAGTCGTATATTGGAACATGTTTTAAATTTAGACCTATTGCTATTACCTCTCCTTTTCTAAAAACTATGGAAAAGTTACTCTTAATTAATCTTCAACCTTCACTTAAAGTCTTTAACGATCCCAAACAATTCGTCTATAAACACAGTGGAAGTACTTTAGATGCAGCTGCTGTCTTGTATCACAAGACTGTCTCCAGCTTAGACAAGGGGGCTAAATTTCTTCGCTGCACCTTCCTAGATTACACATCTGCTTTCGACTTAGCACCTAGGGACATTTTACTAAACAAGCTTGCTGAAACTAAAACTGACTGTTGGGTTGTCAAATGGCTCCATTCTTATTTCTCAGAAAGAAAGCAATACACTGTATGTCAGGGAAAGTTGTCCACTTCGTTGCTTACTGAGGCTGGTGTCCCTCAAGGGGCTGTCCTTTCTCCTTTTCTGTTTTCTTTCTTCTTGCTTAACTTACCTCACTCTGATGAAATGAACTTTGTTAAGTATGCCGATGATCTAACTATTTCAATGTCTGTTAACTCTCAACTTGACTGTATTAAGATTAACAACTTTCTATCAGAAATTAGCAAATGGTCTTCGTCTAACGGCCTTAAACTTAGTCCTTCCAAATGTCAGACTGTTAATTTCAGTTTCCGATGTAAACGAAAGTTAAATGAAGCCGTTGGTTCATATGACCCTTGCAAAATCGATGATACTGATATAGAAAGCAAGTCTGAAGTTAAGTATCTTGGATTAGTTCTCTCTTCTGACCTATCTTGGTCTTCTCATGTTTTAGCGATTTCTCAAAGAATATTTCGTCTAACTTTTTACATCAAGAAGTTAAGGCACTCAGGCATAACCCAACCACTCCTCATACAGTTTGTCAACTCGTGTATTGTACCTATTCTTCTTTACTGTTCACCCTTATTCTTTCCTGGATTGCTTAAAAAGGACTATGTCATACTTCGTAGAACTCTGAAGACTGTCATTAGAACGAGTGGTATCCCATTGGGCCATATCGTTGACATTGTCACTGATGGGCACTTGATGTCACGCAACAAAATTGCTAAAGGAATTTTGTCAGACTGTAAGTACCCACCTTACCCACAGCTCCAACCTTGTGTCTCCTCAGGTAAAACAATAAGTCTTTTCAGAAGACTTTATGCACGTAAGCCTAAGTATAAAAATTCCACTATACCATATTCAGCACGTACTTTATGCGATGAAAATAGTGCTACGCATGAACTAAATAGCCTTCTTTGCACCACTAAATAAACCATTTCCTCTACCTTTACAGCATCAAACTTATTGTTATTGTACTTCTTATATTTATAATCCTCTCAATTTTTTGTTTTTGTTTGTTTATTTTTTTCATAAGTGTGAACATCATTTAAGCTGTGTTATAACTATTAATTTTGTATCTTCCCTCCCCATACTATATCAGCAGAACATTAAATTCAATAATCTATAACATGCTAAAGTTTCCAAACTGAATCAACAATACCGTTTGAAAGAAATTCACTGTTATTATTATTATTATTATTTTATTTAATAATCTCAATTCGTGCCTCGAATATTTTTGACTTTATATCGTAAACGTGGACAAATTCCTCTGGTTAATTTTGTTTTAATTTTTAATTTTATTTATATTTTGAGTAAATCAGATGCAATATTGTGACAAATGCTGAGAATTCCATTCTGTATTATAAGTACTGTTTTTGGAATAAAGTAGATTATTATTAAAAAAACCCTGATTTCCCCCTATATACTGGTCCATCCTATGTAGTTGACTTCACAGTCATTGCAAGGTATTTATGAGGTTAAATAGTTTTGTCTTATTGGGTCAATAGACTCGTATAGTTTACAGAGCTTGTCCGTGGCTGTGTGTAGGTTTAAATGCAACCCTAATCCCTACCTTTTTAAGAATTTTTCCTTAAAACTTAAAACTTCACATGTCTTGAACTTATTCTTACTTATGTTATGGTTAATATTTTCACTAATGCTTGTGCTAGATACTTCATCAGTAAGCAGTTCTGTATTACCGTGTCTTTTATCACATAAACCGTCAAATATGATGAAATTCGAAATCAGTTATGACCCACTGCTACTTTTATTATTTTGTGTTATTTTAAATGTTAAATGAATGGGTTTCGTTTCCGTCTAACCTTGTATCTTCCTACTTCTTATGGACTACATTTCCTATGAATTAACACTTACAGTATTTTTATCAATCAGAAATACCTTCAACCAGAGAATTTCATGAGTTTCAATCTCATAACAGTCATAAAATGTGAAACTTTGTGGAGTAGAATTTTTAAGGGCAAACAAACTGCATACTTCCAGCCCTTTGTTTCATTCCAAATAGTAAACAATAATGACCAGGTAGCCTTCATTGGGATCCCTTATTTTCATGATGTCAGGAGTAAAATTAATGCAACTAGTGACTTGAGCATTTGTTTAGTTCCAATTAGGCAATACTCAGAAAGTTCATGTTTACAAACACAACAATGTTAGGATGGACAAAAGTTACAATAAGTTAGAAGGAAGTTGACAACTACTCAAGATACACAAAATTATTTGGCTTTTTTTATGAATGAACCGTTTTACATGAGAACTGCACGTTAGTATTTAGAAACTTACACGTAGAAAAGATATTAGCCATTATCTCCTTTGGTACTTATTGAAACACTCGTCTGCAAATTAAAACGCACTATCATTTATACCTTTTAGGCTTTTTACAGGAGATATGGACTGTGCAATATTCTTTTTTTTAGTTTGAATTTTGTGCAAACAACTAACTGTTTTAAGTGAGCTATTTCACGTATTTGGTTTTGATTGCATTATTCCACTTGTTTATGTTTTATCTGAAGCTTTGAAACTTCATATTATTATCCCATCGTGTTGTTTTTGTATATTTCTTTTGAAAGGCGGAAGTTACCTATTCGTCAAACAACTTCAAAGATGTGATTTCTGAACCAGTTCGTTTATGGACAGAAGATGGTATGTTGACAACAGGAATGTTTTTTGTAATAATAGTATTAAGTGTAAAATTACTGGAAACTTATCTACAAACTGAGGGTGTTAATAATGTGATAAGTATAAACAATGAATGGATTCTTTGTCCTGTAAGTTAGTGGTAAAAACTTTTCAACATCTGCCTACAGTTCGCTCATTACAGCTGTGACATTCACTGAATTTGAATTCTGGTGATGTGAGGACAGCAGAACAACCTGCCGCTTTACTTCATTACGCCTGTCATCAAGTGAGCACATTTATTTAGAATTAGCTAACTCACCATCCACCGGAAACTGATATCGAACTGACGTTTGACTGTGTTTTTATCAAACTATATTAATAATAAGTGTTATGAAGAAAGTTAAAAAGATATTTGCAGTGGCTTTTGGATTCATTCGTTGCGTAACAGGCTTAAGGAGCATGATCAGCACAACTGTCACACTTTCAGTTTTGACCACAGACATCAGCAGTCATATCGAAATGAGCACACAAATGCATAATACCGAATTTTTTACATTTAGTGTTACAAGTTTGATACATTTCTCTTTCGGTTCAATCTCATCGGTGCCGCGTTCTCAACTAGTAGTAGGTCAAGGGCGATTGCTCAGTTTCACTGTGAAGGAATGTGTTTCGCATTACATCTTGTCAGCTGGTGAACATAAATCCCCTATAGGTTAAATTAGAAACCTGGAAGTTGTCACTTTAGTTGAAATAAATGATTCTTACTTCTCCACCAAAGGTACAACAATATTATATATGTATGTATATCATACTTTTAGGCAATTTTATTGTCGGGTACTTCATCCGTCAACTTTACCAGTGACTAATATTAATGAAGAAAGCTAAAGATGAAGTGATTAGCCAGCGAATAAGAATGAATTACAGAGATGACCCATGAGCGCAAATCCTGATGACTGACTGTCCATTAGATAACTTGTACATATGATAACAATTGACTCCGAGGTTGTGGGAGTAACAGAGTTTCCCATGAGCAGCCATAGTTCTGCCACGCTATCAACCAGCGCTATCGATAAGTCAGTCAATACCGATTGAAACATGAAGTCCCAATCGCCACAACAACAGGTTATCAATTCTTGTTCATCATTGCTATTCTGTTGTTCCTATACATAGATTCCGAAGAGAAGTGAGAAGTAGTCATATTTCAAGACGAAGAGAAAAAATCTTTCAAACAGAAAGTTGGCATACTACATCATAAAAAGCTATTATGGTCACTGTATTAAATCAAATGGTGATGAGGGTTTTCCGTCAACATAATTCAGTTTCACGTTAATTATTACAGTTAACTGTTTAAGATAGAGTTTAAAAACTAAATTTCACTAACGCTCAACAATTAGCACATAAAATTTGTTCGCAGAATTTTCAAATTAACTGTTCATATTTTTTACTTTTTTCCTCTCATACATCAGAAGTACATGTTCAAACTGAGGAGATTTTTGTATCACCTGGTGAACGTGTAGTCATTAACTGTACAGGATCTGTGGGACCAAGTGGTACATCGCAGAAAACTTTAGAATGGAAGACGATTGACGGTAGCCGTTTACCTGAAGGCAGTCGTTCATTGAAGACACAGGAGGCAAAGTCGGGACCATTATGGTATGCAATGGAATCTCTGATATTTGATTCGGTGAATAAAAATCATGCAGGTGTCTACACTTGTTTCATAAGACCTTCAATATCTGAGCTAATGCAAAAGAAAGTCGAATTACACAATGTAACTGTGACCGTCAGTGGTAAGTTGATTGTGAAACCAGCTATCATTGGTTAACTTATTTTTTTTATTTTATTTTATTTTGGTTATAGCTTGATTCCACACAGTATTTTTGGTACAAGTGTGGAATTTTCAGCATGCGATATCGGTAGCCCAAATTTAGCAGGCCGACCATTGATATCTGGTGTGCGTCGGCAGGGGATCGAACCCCGGACCATGTGCATGGTCGGCGACAGTCCTAACTACTGTGCCACTGACGCCACTTTATATTACAGAACTGTTTACAATCCACATGACAAAATCAACATGACTGTCTGTCAGAAGCTTAATCATTCTCACCATGTTAAATACAAAAACAAATGAACTGATATTTTTTTCTACAATAAACGAGATCTGAACGTTGAACAGAATGAAACAGAAAAGAAACATCGTACCATAACTATTACGCTGATTTGATTTTTAAGAGATTTCTATTCAACAAAGTGTTCACCTTTGTTTGTCCAATTGTAAGCTGTAGGGTACTGAAGACTCCAATTTTTACTCCTGGCTAGATTATGTCTAATAAGAACGCTGTTTTACTTACGAATGGTTAGCCACAAAGCTAAGAATCGTGCATATTCCTTCACCTTACATTCACTGCATCATAGTTTGAAATGATGCACTTTTCTCGGTAAAGTTCTCTGTTATCAGGTCATTCAGGCTTGTTTCACTAAGGAAATCTGCAAAGTTATCTCATTTTGGCCTGCAGTTATACAATAGTCAACTAAATTAAATGAATGGACCTCAGATCGAAATCACATTTGGCTTTCTCCGTGGGTACACCTACTAGTATCAAGTTTACTTGACCGGTTTACGACCATTTAAACTGTATCACTGTAGACATATTTTATCCTATATATATATATATATATATATATATATATAAAGTTCATTTCTAACAGTTTAAAACATTTGGGCATTGGGTATGGTGGTGTGTTTGTGATTATGACATTTTTGTATTTCCCGATGAATGAAATACAAAACAGCATTAGTTTTACTGACGTTTCAGTAATCGGAACTAATAGATTTATCAAAATAATAATAAACCGGAATTAGCGAAATCCTGACTTATGCACTACAACTTGGTTCTACTGGTTTGGTTGATGGTGACTGGCAGTGGAATTCCGGATGCACATTTCATCCTGTTTACGACTCATCATCTGGATTTACGTTTCACTTGTTGGGAATTTTTGAAATATTTTGAAATAGCAATCCATTTTTGTTTATCTACAAATTCCACTATCAAATTAAATGAAACTATTTGACTCACAAAAGCATATACGAAAACATATTATTTCAACGTCACAAACTTCAGCTATGTATTTTTATTCAGGTGAGACAACAGGCCTCTGTTAAAGTAAACACCTTCTTGTACCATGGTATATACTTAGTCGAGAGCAATGTGTTGTGTGTTTACACTTAAGTGATGCGCGTTTCGGACCAGTGTCGGATTCATCATCTGGATAAACCTTCATTTCAGTAGGTGAGATTGTAAATACAATCTTTTGATTATTTCAGGCATTGCGGTTCACAATAGACAACTGTCTTTCAATAAATGTCAACACTAAATCTTAAATCCATTTTATGACGTACATATACCCATCGTATTTTAGTGGTGTTTTGCTAAGTCTTTCTACGCCAAAGCACTTTTGTTATTAAGTAATACTCTTATTTGTCACTCTCTTTTTCAAAATTTTTTTACCTTCATAGATTTGGAGCTTGATATGTCTTCTAAAGTTGCTGACTTAGGTGAAAAGATTGTTGTTACATGTCGTACTGCTAGTCCTGGACAGTTGGACTGGATTCTTCCGTCTGGAGAAAAAGTGGAATCAGTTAGCGAAATGAAATCAGATGAATCAAGTTATGAACCATATTCTGTTAAGAAAGATGATGATACTGATGACAATGCAGACAAAACAGACAGTGCAAGACTGTCAGCTCAGCTTGTTCTGCCTAAAGTTGATTTAACTAAGGCTGGAAAGTATGTCTGCCTACATTCACCTTCAAATAATAAACAGACCTTCAATGTACAAATGAAAGAAGGTATACTTTTCAATGTGTTTTCATTTGTATATGTTTGATAAGAATTCTCGTTAAATAATCGAAGTCATGTGAAATCTGATTCTCCAAGACGATAAACTCCACAAAATGACATTCGTCAACTTAGTTCTCACCATAAATGAATTGTTTACAGTTTTGCAAAGCCGATTTTCATCGTCAACTGTGTTCAATTTACAGTACTTATTAATATAAATCGCATTCTGTTGGTTATGTTGTTAACCACCGATGATATCTGTCTGATTTCCCACAAACTGGAAGATATGCAAGTGAAAAGAAACAAGTTAGCAGAAGAAGCATCAAAGATAGGACTTCAGGTGAACATAGAGAAGACAAAGGTGATGAAGTTTCCTGGCCAACAGCAACAGCAACAAAAACAGACAACGATCAGCCAGCATAAATGGGAGAAATTTGAAAGAAGCTACCTCCTTTACCTACCTGAGAAGGATCGTCTCAACTACAGGCGGAACTGACGAGGATATCAAAGCAAGGATCGAGAAAGCAAGACAAGCTTTCTTTACTCTCAAGTCTTTGTGGAGGTTAATAGCACTCAGCAGGAAAATAAGATCTGGATTCTCAACTCCAATGTAAAGTCAGTGCTACTTACCATATGGATCAGAGACTTGGCGCCGCATCACGAAGGGCACTTCGGACAGACCACAGACCTTTATTAACAGCTGTCTTTGCTCACTACTACTCAAGATCAGATGGCCGGCCAGAAAAGATCAGTCACAGGGATCTCTGGCAATGGACGAACCAATGAGGAACCGATTGTGCAACAAATATGCAGGAAGAAATGGAGGTGGATTGTCTGGCCACACCCTGAGAAAACAAACCACCAAGTGACATCACATGCCAAGCCATCGCTTGAGTGGGACCAGAATGGGAAGCGGCGAGTTGGTCGTCAGTGCCAGGGTGACATGGAGGAGGTCATGTGAAGAGGAGATGAAAGAATGTGGGGCGGCTGAAGTTCTATGTTCCTCTAGGAACTAAAGGGAACAATAAATAATAGTAACAATATGTTGTTAACCCGTATCAATAATAGGTATCAATAAGTAGACACAGTCAATCCACAACTCTTTGTAATTTAACCTACTTCTCATTCAGACAAAAAGTCGTAGCTACCTAGAAAGTGGACTGTAGCACAACACTCAATTGTATGACGGGAGATTTAATTTCTCATTGAGAGGTTTCATTTTAATAATTATTATTACAATCTTTCTGGACAAATTTTTCCACAATATACACACTTCTCGGAGTAATTTAACGTACAATATTTTCTGTTCATACATGACCTTCGAGTAAAATAATAATTAACAGTTTATCATGTGATGCAGTGCTATTCGATTCGAAACATGGACTAATTTCATATTATAGTTTACCTTCGTCTCTAAGACATGGGCGCCAGTATTTTGAAAACCAATTAAAAACGTGTGTGTGAGTACATTTTGTGACTCAGCGACATAAATAAAGGTTAAGACAATAAGAATTAAAGAAAATATGATTCATTGTGTTGGATGGAAATTCAGACAGTCCAGTGATTCAAGCAGGTCGCCTCTAAGTTTGCTAGGTCATGCTGAACAATTGAAAAACAACCAGGATAACAAAATATTCATCGTTTCCTGGTATTTTTGCCAAACGTATTTGTCACCAGTGAGAAATAATTCCATAAATTTGTCTCAGACTATATAATTACCAATAATCTATGATCAAATATGAATGGTGCCTAACTTCACTGTTATACTAGTGGAATTTTCTAATTCATGTTCACTGAATACAAACATATAGCATGTTCTTTAGATTCTACGTATTCTGATGACGGCAGGAACCGGAAAAAGCCTGACTACTTCATTTCTTTAGAATTTAGACTTTCAGAAAAAAATGATGATGAAAAAATAATAACGTTAAACTTACCCATGGATGGAAATATGAGACACGTAAATTTCTAAGGTCAACACATGGGTTATGGTTCTGGAAGTGGGGATTATAAAGGCTACAGTGGTAACTGTACCAGACACTTAATGCCAGCTTATATGCTTTTCATGTAACTGGGAAAGGAGCTACTTAAATACAATGTTGACCGATGAAAGTTTGTATATACGGTTTGTGAGATAGTGTGGTTCTGTAAAGATATGCTAACACCAACAAGATATGTGATATCAGTAGTTGGTATATTGACTGGAATATCCTATAGAGACACTGAGGTGCTCAACATGTTGGAATCAAACAATTCCAACACTGGTGTGAACACGGGCAGTAATTTTGCTCGAAATATTACCAATAACAAAACTTATCATTGTGTGTAAACTATTAAAATATAATTATACTTTATGTTAGGACGCGTCGACCGATGACTTGGACCGACATGATTTTAAATTGTCTTAAAAAAGGTTAACAGAGCCATTCTGTACCTAAGTTTAGTTCCTCTTTTGAGTATTTTTTCTGATATTTTCAACAAGATAAATGTTGCTCACTGGGATGAATAGTTAAATATACCACTTAACAAAATTTTCTTTTATTGGAGAATGAACTCATCAGTCGTTAATCCGGACTGGATTTGATAAAACAACAGAAACAGTTGAAAATTACTTCATTCCTGGATAGCTGCGTGGATGAACTGGTAATACACAAAATGCACTTATTCACTAATGACGTGCATAATTCGATGTGAAATTTCACAACAGTTCGCCTCGAAAATCGAAAATATTTACGCTACAAGATGTAACCTTCTTGGTATCGTAAATGGCCCAAAAAAGTCCAGTAAAACATGATGCGAATGTCGTCATTGGCTATTTACTTATACCGGTAGCATTTGAATTGGGATACATTTTTTCTTTGCTACTGAAAATGTAATTTCTCCTGTGTACTTTTCCTGTTTTAGCTGTGAGCTTGTTGAAATCATCTGAAAGTTCAGAAGAATCTGGCAAAACTTTTATACTTATGTGCAATGCCAACCTAGGCAGTGTGGAACAATCTGTTGTCTGGTATAAGAAATCCAATCCTAGTTCACCATGGTTAGAGATAACGCCAACAGTTCAACATGTTGAACATATTAAAATTGTGCACAAAAATCCTGAAGAAACACCTTTATCTGGCCTATGGATATCACAGTTGGAGGGCAAAAATTCGCCTGCCTCTACAGGTGAATATATGTGTACAATACAAAATCCGCAGGTATTCAGAATGACACAAATGGAACTCGGCGTACAGAGGGAAGAAGTCAGTGATTTCTCACATATTACACATTCAACTATAAAAGTACCAGTCAAACCGGGTGGGTGTTATGCGTTTAATTATTATGTTTTAGTAGTCAATATTCAGGTAAACTCATAAATAAAACTGCGGTATAAAAATGTGCTTTTGTCATGATGGATGAACAGGTTTACGAAATCATGTTGAATAATTATCGAGGATATAATTAATCCAGTGACATTTATTATCTCAGCATGTGCACAAGTCAGTGTACTAACCAGAATTTTTTTTCAGTTTTATATACTGTTCTCTAAAATTAGCTACGGAAACACACCAAGAACAATTTGCCTGAAGACGAAAGGGACTCCGGTTGCCTAGACAAAATTTTTCACATACAGTTTGTAGTGGCTGTTAGAGAAAATCCTGTCATAAAAGAAATGTGCGGATGGAAAGTTCAGCTAACAGTATTCTGTGACCAGAAAATAAAAGCCACTGCAAGAGGAAAAACACATTAAAATGCAGAATAAACAGGTTCATAAACTGGCTCTACATTCTACAAATGTTAACACTGTTGATAAGGTTACAAACCGTCAGTCTGGCGGTGAAGCACAACCTCAGTCAAAAGATCATAGAAGTGTTTTCCACAGAACCGTTTTGACGCTACACAATGTTTTTTGCGTATAAATGTTTTTCGCCACTAAATTATATATATATATATATATATATTCCTAAGAAATCAGTGTTCATACATAAACAGTTATCTGCCAACAGTTTTAATCCTCAATTTCAATGCTCTCTTTCGTTTCACTACATCTATGTATGAACTGATGTAGTTTGAAGTTATTTATAATTCATTTCAGAATGATAAGCAAATGTTATTTAAACATTAGTGTCGTTCATAAGACTAATTCATTCATTCATTATAATGTATATATAATTGTAGAACCTGATGATGAATTTATCGAAAAGAGTTCTCTTTGTTCAGTGTCTATTCTTTTGAAAACTCTTCTCTTTCAGTTTTAAAAATAACACAGCCGCTAAAATTGAAAACAGGTCAATTACATGTTCAATGTCAAGGTTATCCAGCCCATCCAAAAGATCGCTTACAATGGGTGTACATTCCCTCGGATGATGCAACAAAGGCTATTCCAATAGTGCATCTGAATCCAAAAGATGATGAAACTGAACAACAAAATGGAGAGAAACAGGATTCCACTGAAGAGAAGGTAAGTGGCAAAAAGCATTTGAGACTATACAAGCCTAAAGATTCTCAGTTAGCCACCGGTGAAAAATACAAAACTAAGAAACAAAAACTGTCCAGTGCTCATGCTGTCAGTTAGCAATATAATCTACACTGAAATTAATCACACACCACACCAATTTGATATCTGAAGCCTCTTTTATACCTTAAAGAATTTATTGTATTTCGTCACTGTCACTATGGCTGTCACACTAAAGCCACTTTAAGTTGCATATAGTTGTTAGTCAGTTTGGCTAATTTCACTGCCAAGAACTATCTCCCTTATTCTGATTGGTAAGAACACAACAGCGTTTCCAACTGAACGTACACAAGTTACATCCGTCATAATGTCAAACAGATTCGTCATGTATGTGAAGAGACTAAGTCTCTGTCGGCCTGAACACTGACTATTCAAAACCTACTCCTAAACCAAAAATCTACTGACTGTGCAATAACTGAATACGAATCTTAAACTAGAGGTAGTAATGTGTTTAGGATTACGATTTTGTGGAAGTGGTATTCTTTCCGATTGATATAGGCTGTTCCACTGACGATAGTGAGTGTGTTAATTCATTTGTGAACTAACCTCTGGTGGTTTGGTACTGCTATTTTCTTCGTGGTCGTCCCTACACTGCTTATTACCACAAAGTAGTATATGTATTAGTGTATAGCACTTGATGAGGCACTTATTGAAAAGGAATACAATTCTTCCCTCAAAAAAATAGATAAGTTTGGAATATTGTGCACATCAGTGAAGTATTTTAGAACTGTAATGTTTAGTAAGTTTAGACTAGAGGTCGAGTAATATGAAAAAACTCCAGGGAATTGGATGTTGATGGAAGGAGTGTGGAGACAAATATCAAAGATCTTATATAATAACAGGTGAACACAGAGAACAAAAGGTTAGTTAGTAGAACTATTCTAATAATCGTCAAACCGAAAAATCCAAGACAAATAAATAGTAATGATGGCAAAATGTTATCGTCAATTAGGTTTAGAATTATCTCCAAATCGGAAGGAGTGCATGAAAAGCTTTCTTTTTTGTACGTAAATCATCAGGGTTCTCATATGAATGGTTAAAGCCTCAACAGTGCTAATAATATGGGAAAATAATGTCTTAAGGGGGCTTCTTTTGACTTTGTAAATCACTTTGAATATGTTTTCCTCAGAGACTGAGTACCCAGTGTTGGTTATGTGTTCAATTACAGCACTCCGCATTAACTCTGAATATGGAAGTATAACGTTTTAGAGGTTTTACCCCTAACTTAAGTCCTCGTCTGAGAAACCTGAAATTCAATTTCTGATTGTCGTTCAGGAATTCTCAGAAAAAATTCCAGAGTTAGTATTACATATGTAAAGACACAGATGTACTACTGTAACGACAGACGACAAGGGCTAGGCAACAGAGAGTTTGTTGAGAAAATCAACAGATATTTACAGATTTCTGTACATTATTAATCGTTACTGTTAGCAGAGAAGCACCATCTGACTGGTTGTTTTCCTGCTGAAGGTTATTCTTTCATCTCTTTGTTGCCGTTTTTTAGACAGTCCGGTGATGCATTTGCGAATGGTATCCACTCACGCTAAGTCTACTGTGATTGGTTGTTGAGTTCCTCAAGGTTAGGCTTCGTTATTGTTTTATCTCGTGACCCCGATCGGGGATGTACACAATGACGTGAATTCGTGTCTACAATTTTGGCTGGCTGACAGCTCTCACCACACTATTACAAATAAGGATTTTGATGGAAAGTGATCGCGGCCTAAATGCTGTTTTAAAACTAACATAAACTTTCTGACTACATTATAAATTTCTTATTGTGTTAACAGGCAATAGACGAACTTGTCGGGCTAACATTTCACCTATCCGATAGTACTCTGGCTACGTGGCCAGGATCTACAGGACCTCAGATCCTCGCGCAATCTGCAGCTATTGAACATGAAAATTCACCTAAACAAATGTTTACTCCAGAACGCTTAAATCTTTTGTTTGATAATACGAATACAGAGAAATTTTCTGAAGGAACTCTATCTTGCAGATATTTAAGAGTTAAAGGTGTCTTACCGATGGATACTGACGAGGCAGCTGCATCACTTTCTGCTAGTGATATTCCTCAAACAAATGGCGATGATGAAATCCTGGAGAAAAGTGATATCTCTATGAAAGACTTATTCGGTAAGCACTGATTGATTCCCAGATGTTTCACTGATCGAAACTCTTAACTTACAAACTGATTATCATTACAGCGTTCTAATTTCATATTGTTTACATTCATGTATCCATTCTACTTAGTAAAATGTTGTAGGTATTTCATCGCTTCGGTGCTCAAAACGGATAATTGAATCGAAGCCCAGGATACTTGACTCTGCATGCAAACGTTTTGTTGTAATTAAACCCACAACTTGGACACTGTGGTACAGCATAACTCCATTATGGATAATATTTTATTTTGATAAATCATACAGTGTTTTACAGTAATATTTACTGATGACATTTCGAGCACAAACTATTGCTCATATCAGTGATACGATTATGATCAATAGTTTGTGCTCAAAACGTCAACAGTAAATATTACTGTAAAACACTGTATGATTTATCAAAATAAAATATTATCCGCAATGGAGTTAAACCCACAAAGATATTGAATTTCTTAGTTTATTTACTTCGTAGTGAGTAATGTACCTTAGATGCGGTGTTAATGCAGAGATAAACTGAATGAATGAATGATGGCGAAATATCCCTGTGTGTCAAGGTTGTATATTCTGTCAGTGACGTGTTTTGCTACTAATCATCAGTCGTAGGAATTCTACTTCCATATGCTTGATTTCGCATAGCTACTAGACGGAATCACTAATAATAAAGAGGAGATACAGATCTCCCCTTTCTTTATTTCCGGACAAAACCTCTTCAGAGATGTTAAGGAATCAGTCAAACCTGTTATCGAGAAGTATAAATCGATTGGGAGGTGCACTTGACATACTCTGAACTACTGAAAAGATGTCGACAATCCCCTCATCTCTGAAAACATTTCAAAATAGCACTAGTTATTAGTTATCCACTGACTGATCAGTCAGTCTATCTAATGGATTCATCATTCAAAATGCGCATTACCAACCTCTTTAAACACACTTTTGAGCACTTCAATTTCACGTATTTAGAATAATATCAGTAGCACCTGGTGTGCGGGTTGACATTCATCCGAAGATGAGAGCTTTAATATTACTCATCTTATGACAATCTCGATATTCAGCTTTAACCTACCATCTAACAAACTGAAATTTATTCAGTTCATTCAAGGGAGAAGAATAAATCACAGCACTCGCAAAGATTGTGAATCAATGACTGCAGATTTTCAACTACATGGGTCAAACTGTTTAAAAGTGGCGGGTATAACTTTCGAAATATGGAATATTTTCACTGATTTTCCTCTAATACTTCTCTCAGTATTTGCCAACCGTTGCACTTCTGTCCTTTTCTCTTCTGAATGCCATTTCAAAGTGCCACACACCGAATTAGCACAATTCTGTTTAAAATTGTACTCTGTTCTGTTAGTCAATCGATTACTATGAAAGTGAGTTTTGAAAATTGATGGTTCAAGAAAGGATTGACATAATGAACAACTGCTTAGCTGCAACTATAATAATTTGCATATATAAGTCAGGATATATATAGTCAGGATTCAGGTACAAATACCACTTCTCTCTATCGACTGTTTGTAATCTTTTCTACCTTTAAGTCGAAGTTAACGTTTTTATAGAAATGAATACCTGATTTACCTGTTTTTTGGTGTGGTTTTATTCTCTGAGTCGGAGGTGCCGCTGTAGATGTTGTCTAGAAGGACAATGAAAGCTTCCCATCTAGGAACACCCAACTCAGACAGAACACAAACGCACCTGAAAACATCACCATCTAAGCTATAAATCTTCTTCACTAATTGAATTCATCTGTTTCTCTGTTCCTGTTTTCCTTTCATGTTCGAAAAAACCTAATGGTAAAAGATGCGAAAGAGGACGATGGTATATCGGTGATGTCTAACTCGATAAATGAATCAGACGATCTACTCTCCGATGGGGAAAGAAATGAAACCAACAAAAAATCAATCTCTGTTTTCATTTACATTAATATTATTGCTTTATTGGTTATTTTTATGCAGAATAATAATAATTTTTGAATGGACGTTAGAGTGTGCTTGTGTGTATGCCAGTGAGTGTACCACCAGACTTTTATTTTTTGCTTCTTGTCTTATTTATTATTCGTAAGTATTTTTTCACCCTATTCCACCTTGATTATCCTTGATTATAAAACATCAGTTCGCACTATTGCTTCTTTTGATTGCCTCTTCTGATTGTTTTCTCAATGAATGAACAGATTCTATGCTCATTTGTATCTTCGTTTAGCTTTAAGCCAGTGGTTTGCTCATACTTGTCAGTTGTGTCACCCATGTTGCTTGGTTTCAAACAGAAACTAAATAATATAGACTTCTGTGACTGCAGATCTACTAGGCTTCTGAATCGAGCAAGTGTTCTCTTCATTATGTAATATTAAGTTCGTTGCACCTTATTGTCATTATCAACACAATTTTAAGAGCTCGACTGTTATTACTACCTTGATTTTTTTTTCTGTCACAGTATTCCTGCGTACTTCTGCTTCACCCTAAACTAACCAGTATACGCATCAGCCTTCAAGTCATTTGAAAAGCATTTTCATATGATATTTTCTATTTTGAAGGTGATCAGGTGTGATCAACACTCCGATTTCATTTACTTATTTATTTATTTATTTATTGATCAATAGTCATTTAGATGTTGTCCTTATAATACACATGTGCGCAATTTATGGATGCACTGAGAAAGAAGTAATCCACGCCCTTTCTGTCTAGAAAACATTTACAGTTTAGATTTGATGTTATTCTTCTCGTTGTTGTAGTCGTTATCCAATCGCCTTCACAACTTCAAAATACCCATGGTGGACACTTTAAGAAATTATATAGTCTCTCATGCATATTTGCATACTAGAGCTTATATTAATTATTACTCTTGTCACTGTTGGCATTGCTAGATTCTTTTAAAACACTCTTTTGGCTGGATTTCGATCTCTCCTTTCTTTCTTCCTTTCCATTTTTGTTTTTGCATATTCAAACAAAAAATTAAAAGAGAAACAAATAAATGGAAAGTATGATATTCATTCTATTGACATAATTTATTCCTGGATCTATTTTTCTGTGTTTATTGGGTATTTTGTTTGAATCAACGAACTCACCTATTATTGTTATCATTACTATACTGCCGCAAACTGTTTTTGTGTAAATACATATGTGACGTAGAATTGTTTTTCAGTATAATTTGACTACTTTGATTGTAGATAAGTAGGTAAAGCATAAAGTGTAAAAAAGTGTGCGAAAGCATTGTTAACTGTTATACTGCGTTGAAGCAATACGTTTTTTACCGAATTAAATGAAAGTGACCCGGACATGTGTATCCCGACAGTCAAATTGCACTCATTACCTTATTTAGGTTACACGGTAGAATGAAACATGCCTGTTTGTCTGAAGCGTAGCTTTTTCTGTAAATGCTACAATAAAAAGGGGAATTGATTCAGAATAATTTTATTTGAGTATAATTTTTTACTGTCACACTCTTAAAGACGAGGAGGTCGGTAACCACAATAGCGAAATTATATTTGATTATGTATGCCATGCTTTATAATATTACATGATTGGGACATAACCAACAGAGAAGTTCTTAACATTATCGCCCAAAAACAATTTCTTCTAAACATTTGAGATTAATGAAATTCGTATATTTTGATACATAGTAAAACCAAATAGTAATAACTTCACTGAAAAACTATGCACAAGAAATCATTTATAAATCTGCTAAAACCTAAGAGAAAAGTAGGAATGATAATTCATATAATGAAATTAATACAAATAGCAGTGAATTTATAGCCTGTCAGAATTTTGACCAACCTCGCCTAGTTTACTAGGAAGCTAGCTTTCTAGCCTGTCCCAAGCCCCGGAAAAGAGGGAATTTGGCATGGGGCTAGCAACCCTACCACACAAAATCAGTGAAAATGCTACAGAAACTTTAACGCAAAATCAAAATACAAAAAACATTTTCTTAAAACTTACTCTTCGCTGGGATCGAAGAGACGAAATGACACAGCCGGCTGGTGAAAGCCTTCGGGAAGCCAGTTAGCTGATGTCTTCTCTCGATGAAAGCAAGAATAAGAATGAAGATGTAGAATATCTGTACAGTGTATGAGGCTGGGAAGGCTGCTCGGATGGCCAAAGAAATTAGAAGATATTGCATAGAAGTGCTAGAAATCTACGAGAGCAGATGGAATGAATGTGAACTGTCATTATTGTCAACTGGTGAATCTACTCCGGTCCGGTCACCCAGACGGCAACCACAAATACACTGAGGAAGTGACTGGCTATCATGATGTCACCGGTGGTATACAGAGTCCCAATGCAGTGGGAACCAATTTCTTCCAGAATCATAATAGCAAGATTCAATTCGAAAAGAAGGAAGGAAAATCACAATTTTCCAATGTTACGCACATTGCTACAAACAACGCGGAACAAAAGAAGAAGGAAGATTTCTACAAACAACTACAAGCAGTAATGAGAAACATCCCGAATGGAGACATAGAAATCCTTATTGAAGAAACGATAATACAGGAAGAGAACTAATCATGGGTGGCGAGTCTCTCACTTTGCGAAATAAATGAGGACACAGAACTATTCGCAGACCTTTGAGCTTTCAATGATTTGGTGATTGGAGACAGCGTGTACAGGCACAATGATATACAAAAAGCGAGATAGTATTTGCCTGACGGATACGCCACAACCCAGACAGACTTCATCTCAATGTTGTTCAAGGAAGTGGAGACGAAGCCTGCTGGACACGAAGTCGAGAAGGGGAGCAGATGTCGGCTCAGACCATCATCTAATTTAAGGAACCTTCAAGGTGAAGCTGAAATCCATGAAAACAAATGGAGACAGATCACAATTGAAGTTCAACATTCAGAAACTGAAGGAAAAAACTAAAAGGGATGCCTTCACAACAGATCAGATTAGAGCAAAGTCGGAGACGATACGTGGCATTACTGAGGGAACCTGTGTGAGTGGAAGAACATTGGAACTCTCTGGAGGTGATTTTCAAGGAAACGTGTAGAACTGTTCTAGGAACAAAGAGGGACTCTTGAATCGACCATCATGTGCAACTCGCCCAGAAATACCATCAACAACACTCACAGAAATGCCTGCCAGTGGACACCAATCCTCCAACGAAGGTATAAATCTTGAATACAATGAAGCTACTGAAGTCTGGGAAGGCAGCAGGACCAAACGGAGTTCCCACATCCACAGACTGCAGCAGATATGCGGATGCCATTATTGCAAAAGATTTAGAAGGAAGGAAAGGTGCCTACAGATTGCAAGAAATGCTGGCTACCTTGTCAAGCTGCCAAAGAAGGCCGACTAAAGCCTCTGCAGGAACTGGCGTGGAATCATGTCCACGTCAAGTAAAATACCAAATCGCATCATCCTAGAGAGAGTGAAAGATGCACTGGATGCAGAACTTCTGTCGGTACAGGCTTGATTCGTAAGGCCCTCGACAGACCGTTGATCGAGGAGTAATTCGGAAGCTGTTTCGACACAACGGCGTGCAGTGCCCGAATCTTTATCAACCTCATTCAATAGATGGCTATATGACAATGCCACGTGCCAGGTTATCCACAACGGAGAACTCAGTGAGGCGGTCGTAGTGAATACAGGAGTAAGACAAGTCAGCCTGCCTATTATCACGGATGATATTCTTAATGGTGGTGGACTGGATTATGCCGCACAGCGTGCATCGGGATTGAGAAGACAGGAATACGCTGGACCACCAATAAGAAGACTGCAGAATAAATGGATGTCGCGGATGATAAATGTTTACTGTCACACACACTCGAAGTCTTGCAGGTGAAAACCAACGAACTGACAGAAGGGGGATAGCAGTGAAGACAAGATGCCAGGTGAACATAGAGAAGGTGGAGACGGAGGTGATGAAGATAACCGAACAAAACTAACAGTAACAACAATCAACACCAATCGCAGTCAACGTGAGAGATTTGACAGAGGTTGCTTCTTTCACTCATCTACGAAGCATGGTTTCAACCACAGGCAGAATGGATGACGTGAGAGCCAGCTAGAATCGGAAAGGCAAGATACTTTTATATCAATCTGAAATCAGTTTGAAAATAGTCTACACTCAACCAGCATTAAGAAGAAGATACGGATTTTCAGCACAGGTGTTATGTAAATCAGTTCTTCTATACGGGTCAGGAACTTGCAGTGCGTATTACGGAAAGCATTTCAAACAGGTTTCAAACTTTTATCAACAGCTGCCTTCGCTGGCTCCATATCACAGATCAAATGGCAGTCCAGAAAGAATTAACGACAAGAAACTCTGGTAACAAACCAACCGAGAGCTGACTGCTCAACAATTACGCCGAAGAAAATGAAGATGGACTGGGAGCACACTAAGGAGGCCGCCGAATTATATCGCACGGAAGGCCATTGCTCGAGCGGAATCCAAATGGGAAGCGACAAGTGGGTCGTCTTGGGGTTATTAATAATAATAATAATGTTTATTAATAACATTGCTTTCCATACATATTTTATACAAAAACACTTTATAGCCTTTCCACTAGTTCCTGTCCATTTTACACGAGATTATTGATTATTCACTATCTCACACTTATTACGTCATGCCAACTTCTGTCTCCTTTCTAACTTACAATTAGTCATCCCTTCTTACACCTTACATTATGTAATACAATTTTCCAAGGACAAAATTTACCAGTATCTGATTGGTCTAAAGATTTCTTTGTTAATTATAATTACGATTGTACAGCTCATGAAAATGAATCGTCGAAAAGAAAATTTTCTTCGCTGTTTGTGCCTTTTTCTTATGACTCAATATGGGAGTATTTCGTTCATTGATATGGAGGAGATCGTGCGAGAAGGAGATGAGAGATTATGGGCAGTCGTGGATCCAGCTGAAGAAAACAGCAAAAAATCGAAGTGGAGATGTGTTGTTGAAGCTCAAGGAGACAATAATATGATAACTGCGTCGGTGGCACAGTGGTTAGGACTCTCGCCGACCATGCACATGGTCCGGGGTTCGATCCCTTGCCGGCGCACACCCGATATCTATGGTATGCCTGAATTTGGGTAAACCGATATCCATGCCGACAATTCCATACTTGTACTGAAAATACGGTGTGGAATCAAGCTGTAAATCAAAAAAAAAAATACGGAATTTCGACCATGAGTTCAGGCCAAATTCTTGCGAATTTATTTGTGATTTGGAATTTACTGATTTATAAGTGGAATTTCATCACAGTTTCTTTTGGAAACCGAAATTATTTTGGTGGTGTAAACTGGTTTAGCTGTCTCAGCTGAAGAGGAATGAGTACAACTCTGATGAGTTCGACCACAAACAAGTCGAATGGTTTCCCGGTGAATTACCAGCACTACTGGTTTACGTAAGTAGTGATATCAAACTGCTAATATTAATCAATCAGCAGTATAAAGTGTTATGAATTTAAGTGTTCATTAATAATGAAATGGAGAACTGAGTTGACAGATTGGCTTCTTCTTCATAAATGAATTTTATGCTAAATCTTCATTGACCTTAAGGAAAGGGAATGAGGTTGGCAGGTGCTTTACTTAATGTGCTTCTAACAAGGTGTTTTGAATGGACACTGAAGAGATTAATTTTAAAAAGTTCGACAATGACTCAAATGAGCGTTTCGATGAGGAACATAGACTCTTAAAAAACACCTTGTGAAGAACGACTGTAAACAATTTAGTCAGAATCATAGAGGAATTAAAAATAAATTCAGAACTTAAGGATGACATCGGCAACGAAATTCTTGGAAATAGTTTGGCATACTTCATGAATACTGTTCGTTTTACATATCAACAAGCAATGTATATCTACTGAAACGTCATCTTCAATATAGTCACTTCCTGAGTTTCCTGCCTTTTCAACACAAAGTTAATTTGTTTATATGTCTGGTTCACGGAGCTAGAATTATCTGTTCAAATGAGACACTGAAGTAAGAACCCGGTAATATTTGTGGTCTGTTAAGCAGAAACGCATATCCGATTAAATTCTTGGACAAACACATGAACTCAGAAGGTAAAATGTTGCAGGCTTCCACTGTCACCAAAAAATCAGTCTTCCTAAGACTAGAATTCACGACTGATGTCAGTAGTGAGATCTTGTCATAACTTCTGAGAGGGGCCTTCAAAATTGGTTTCAGCTAAATTATGCTATATATTCACTAGCCAACCAACAATCATTTCAAGAAATAAAGACAAACTGCCCTGTTTCACCTTCTCCATGTGTATTTACCGGTCTAACTGTCCGTGCGGAGCTAGTTGCATTGGGCCAAAGGAAGTTTGTACAGCCCTTTTCTTTGCCGTGGCCAACTACATTATATGTATTAGGTTTTTAAAAACCACTTTTATCATCTCCTTGTAACTCTCTTTTGACTTTGTTATTTTTACAATTCTAGCTAATTCTATTAACCTGCTTGCACTTTACGTGATTCTTCTGTGTCACCCTAGTCTTCGTAGTCATCATTATTTTACAAATTCCTTGATTATGTGGTAACTTGTTGCTAACACCTATGAATTAACTTATCTCGAATGCCGTAACTAATTTTCACTGCTCCTTCAAAACTTAAACATTTTGTCACTACCATCTATAAGCTGACTTTTAACCTCTTAATTTCCACTCTCTATACCCAAAACTGACTAACTAAAATAACCACTTAACTGGTTAAATTTTGATGTAAAAAACTGTATATTAGTGTAGAGCCAGCCGATGATGAGGAACTAATTGAAAATGAATGTATTTCTTTACTCAAGCTTGTTTCTAAATTGTTTCATTATGCACGATGGAGAATTTAATTTGAGAACCACTCTGTCCTCGGGAAGTCCTATTATTCTTTCGTAACTTTTTCTGTATAGTATTTGCACTTGTTTTTAAAATGGTATATTTCTCTAAGGAGATATTTTGGCTACTGGCAATTAGGGTTGATTCCGTTTCATTCTCTTACTGTTTAATAATCACTATATACTTGTGGCTACTTAGGATACATGTTCCATCACCTTCAAATCCATAGAGTGCTTACCACATAAAACGTATTCACAGTCTCATTGAAGCAGGTTTCCTTGAATAACTACGTAAACAACACTCATTAAAAATAAGTGGGAAATTGTACCTGGAATGAAAAATGTCTCTGGTTGATTGTATGATTTACATAAGTAACTGAAAATGTAACTGTCGCACAAATAATGATGATGCCAGTTAATGATAAATAAATACACCCTGGTGAACAGGAGTTACCGAATAATTTCAAGATAGAGATGTTTGTCTGACAGAAGATTACTACAGAGTTCACCATCAGTTAATCTAGGTGAAAGTGCAGAAACCGATGAAATGGGTAGACATTATGCATCATGTTCATTTGATTGGATGGGTCCACAATGTCGAAGTCAACTATTATAGGCCTCTTTAGCAGTGAATTTGCATAATGTGTATTATATCACTCCCGAATTGTAGCCGAGTAACAATAACAGATTGAAAATGAACTGAGTAATAAACTTATTTTGGTAACCTAAGATTTTCTTCAAGTCAGATAATATCTGGCGCTACACATGCAAGCCTAGGTCATCAAATTTTACCCATCGCTAATATATCAGGCAGCTGCGCAACTCATTTTAGAAAAGAAAATACAAGCTGCACAATACTATATATATGTATATCCTCCGATTAATTTCACTTGGTTTTGTTGAAAGAGGTGTATGTAACTGAATGGACAAAAATTTCAAGTCAGCATTGAAAACGAAGCTGTATACGACCTCATAAACAGGAATTAAGGACGGTTATTGCGAAGCCACTTCCCTTTTTGTTGATTTTATTCACAGCACTGGGAGGTGGTTTATTCTGTTTGATTAAATCTTCAACAAGCTGTCATTCGATTTAATATCCTCAGTGTGTAACTAAAAACGCTACACTGACTGTTAAAATTAATGTCTCTTGTTGAAAATTTACTTGGATGATATGAAGAGAAGTCTGACAGTAATCACAATAGTATTTCAAACGATGAAAACAGAATTAAAATTAATTAATGCAGTCGAAGTAGAAAGTTCATAAATCAAAAATCAGTTCAATGAGTATTATACAATACCACTAGCCAAATATTATTAAAACAAACTGTCAGTAAGGCGTCAGTTTTAAATTGAAGAGAAAAAATATATTTGTTTTATTCTTGATGCGATGTACAATACCAACTGTTGAATCTAATTCTGTCAGAACTAAACAAGACATCTTTACTTTGATTAAAGTGAATCCATCGCTTCTATATGTGTCGGAAACGACCTACTCAACACATTTGTCAAAACTACTTAGTTTCGTCGACTTTTAGATCTTAGTCGGTAGTTGGTAGAAAAAAAGAAATGGAAATGATCTGATGCATGTATGAATTAGTACAATTTAGAGTACCAAGTTAAACATAAGTGATGACAAGTGATTTTGGTTGGTACATGGGGGCCATATGGCAAATTTGTTTCGGCCACAACGTTTATCTGGCTACTGGGGCCCAAAACTGGCTTTTTATTCCAAAATAAACACCAGTAAATTACTAAACAGCAACAATATGAAAATATGTTAAAGAAAATATGTCACAGTGAAAAAATAATGGCACCCATTAAATAAAAAATGTTTTTACTGAATACTTTTCACTCTATTTTGTAGAAGTAATTGCACTGAGTATGTGGAGGGAAGTAAAGCGGGTGAAAGACAATTGAGTCAATAAACAATTGAAGGAAAAGAAGTAAAAGGAATAATCACTGGCACTCAGTCTCTTTCCAACTGAATTCTAATTGTTCAGACTGCTGACATGTAGGAGAACTCAAAGCTCTATATCAGGCCTTAATCATAATCATCACTGGCTTCTTGTGTTAAAATTCTGCATATATGTTTTATTTGCATCCCAAATAGATGGAGATAGCACAGGAGTAACTTCATCCTTCCACGATGTGGGTTCAGTGAAGTAATAGTTTGATTGAAACTGTGGCTGAACATTCCACTATTTATGAAAAATAAAAACATCATATAAAAGAAATTTGTATACTGAAACAAAAAATTCAAGATATAGCATAAACTCTCACTGCCTCCGTTACACTCTTGATTATCAGTGTTTTCTTCGTCGAACAGTACTGATAGATACCACTTAACCTAACCTCCATATACTTATTTAGCTTTGCATATGGAATTCCCGCGCATTTCAGGCTTCATTTTAGTAAATACTTGCTCCACACTAAACTGATAATTTATTCCATTCAAGCAAATTCTTTCTTTCAGCTTAATCATCTCACTGATCTGCTGCACTTTCAAAATATCTAGAAATTAACACTTCATATGTGGTGTTTCGTTCTCAGTGTTGTGGTACCGTTATTATTATTAGACATATGGCATGTAACTAATTCTGAAATATTTATTAATATTTGTACAAGAGTACATAAAATAAATAATGAAAAGCACTGGGGCTAACATTGTGAGCAGAAATTGGGAATTATTAAAAAATGAAAGACTCATTACACAAGTCAGTGGTTTCCAGATGAAAACGTCAGAGACGGTCGTTGCTTGATAGATTGATATTGATGTGTGCTGACGTGATGGTTGCAAGTTTGCCAAAAAATTTAATATGGGACAATGTGTTATAGTTTTGTGTGCTAACTACGAGTAAATATATTAGTAGCATGAAGAGTGGCGTCCGTAGGGAGGCAGGAATAACTAATGTTGATAGTTAGACTATCCGCGATAGCGTTGGATTGGCTGATTGATGTGTTAGGTGATACCTGAAGTTAAAATGAAAAACTGAACAACTGGGGCATTCAAACCAGTGGCCACTGGATCCCCGACCATCTTAACTAGATTGGGCCTTGGTGTTAAAAATGATGGACGTTGTATCTCCAGCGTCAGGAGAAACATCATCACTCACTGGAATGCAGACACGTTCAGAAAACCTGCCCGAAATAAGTCAAAAAAGTGCTCCATTCATTCCTTCTTCCAATTAACATCAAGCTGAAATCAAATGCTTAATTATTACGTCTATTCTAGGATCACATATGGCTACACAGATGGGCTATTTCAGTTTGAAGTAAATAGAATAGCAGTGAATCTACAATTTTTTTCCAATCGTACTGAAAATGATGTTTCAGTGAAAGTTTCACTGAATCTTTATTTTGTACGGATTCTAGGAAAACACTTTCAGTGTCGCGTGATTTGTTAGATTCATGTTATGATCATAATCTCTCTCTCTCTCTTTATTCAACTCAATTAATTAGTTTTTTTAGTTCTTTTAACGCCAAACAATAGCATACTTTCTTTCACATGCTAAACATATGCATATTCATATAAACGTAGTTAAGTATAAGTTATAAAGATGCCTAAGTCAAGAAAAATTTGCATGAAATATAACGTGTAAAGTAAAAAAAAAACAACAGTGATGAAATTGATGATAATAATAGTAACAATAATAGCCTAAGTGAATCTCTGATTTATTTTCACATCAATTCAGACGTAAATGAACAAATACTTTAACAAATGATACCTTGTAATTCTCACGAGTATCACGAATGTGTGCACATTTTTGTGTGTATGTATGTCTGTGTACAAGTATGGTAATTTTATTTCTGTAATGAAAGTGGATAGACACGTTACTTTCTGATTTCTTAAGTTACCACCAGCCCACTGCATGCTTCTCACAAAGATAGTACACAAAGGTTGATGAATCAGATAAACAATCAACACAGACATTAACTCACAAACGTACAATCTTAGATAATCTACCAATCACATAGATGTATTCCAAACGATAGCACATGTTTGTTTATTCATTGGGACAGAAAAACAATTGGTAAAAAGAATCACAGTGACAAAGACAATCAGAAAAAATAATAGAAAAGCTGACTACAATCACATTTAATGTGATTAATTTGATGACGAAAAAAATGATTAATGATACATTGATTGGAAATTCCAATCATTGGCGAAATTGGATAGATTAGTGATTAACATTTTCTTGAAATTTAAAATACACTTTATTTAGTCGATGGCGGCTCTCGGAGAAGTCCGAGATTCGCATTTCGTCCTGTTTGAGACACGCCGGCTGGACGTACCTGTATCCCTAATGAGTGATGGATGATTTTCCCACTGAGATTTGAAACGTGCATCAATCGCTTGAAACACCGAAGTGTTATCTGCTAGGCTATTCAGCCACAAGTGTCACTTCCTATGATACAGGTATCAACTATAATTTATTCGACTGAATTTGTATCTCCCGTAGATTCATTATACTGGAATGAAAGGCTGGGTGTCAGTGGGAACGTCCTCATTAACTGAGGATGGAGATATATCCTGATGACAAGTATTAAATAGGACGAAATGAGCATCTTGGATAACATTAGAAGCCACCAATAACCAAGTAACAGCATTTAAATCTTCGGACATGGTTAAAGCGTCTGTATAAGAGACCAGGATGCAAACAAAGACCAAGCATTTCCGTCCACTGTAATCAATTGTTAACATAAATTCTTATTGTTAGCAATAAAGAATTCTTTCAGAAAGAGTAAATAAAGGGTTGGTTAAGATGAAGACGTTACTTCTTCTTAACCAACCCTTTATTTACTCTTCCTGCCTATTACATAATTTATTTTGGACACGTGTCCCCATTAACATCCCATTCCACATTACGCAACCCTTGTCAATATTTATCAATCTTCACCACCTAGTTACAATTTCGATTATTCATGACATTTTAGAAGCATTTTAATGACGTAAACATTAACCCAAACCAATTTTTATTTTTGTTTGACAATCTCAATGTACACACACAATAATTATACAGCTAAGTGTATGAATCCGCCAAAAAGAAACTCTTTGCTGAACTTTGTTGTTCTTATATTTATGTCTCGATGGTTATTTTCCGTGAATTAAAAAATGATGATTGTCTATTTGCATATACTTATTCTGACTGGTAAATGCTCGATTAATATAACATCGACTTACTAAATTGTCAGGATAGTTGAATAACGTCCATCTCAATTAAGACTGAAACGTTGTGCTCCGTGTTTTGTAAATATTGGTCATGAAACGGTTTTAATAACTGGCGCTACCTTCCTGTCTTAAGTGACGGTCAAAGTCTCTCTGTTTTGTTTTCAATACAGATGTCGTGACACCACAGTGTATCAAAATTACTGACAACATTCAACAGTTCTTCTTCGTCAAGAGAATTGTTTCATGCTAATTTTGATAACGTCACTATGGAGATATACATGTTTAAATGTTTGACGGAAAATGAGTTTCCTCACCGTATTCTAACTCGGTAGCCTTGTGTTCCACAGGGGAACGTGAAGGAAATTAAAAAAATTATAACTCGGTGAAAAACAATCAGAAATAAGAAAACGTAATCAGTGCTTTCACGACGGAAATAAAACTAATACTCGTTTGATAGTCTACTTAGACATTTTTATCTGTGAATCATCATTTCAGTAGTTTGAAGGCTAATGAAGAGAATTTTGTGGTGGTTTAGGTGTGCAGATGATAAACATGTCACAATTTTTCCAATGTTCTACAAAATAGACTGTGCAGACTGTTAAACAGATTACCTCACTTACAGGTGGAGATTATTTTAATAGGTTTAATATGACTTGACCTAGTTATTGTTAAACTGTTGAAGGAATTATATCACAGTAGTTGGTATACGAGTCTTATTAGCACACATTAAATAATGGAGTGTATATTTAAAAGATATATACTCACCTCGGGTTCTTGAGACGAATTACATGAACAGGCGAAGTAACTGTTGTTTTCCATCCGTGTGTCAGTTTGTGCATTCACGATATAAGGAAATGAATATTGTATGTTGTTCTGCACATGATCTGTAGGAACTAAGTTGTCATATGATAGTTTAATGTCACTTGCGATGTTGTTATCTGAGTTATACTTCAAAAAGTGACGTGGATCAGTCTTTATTTCTGTTGAGTTCTCCATAGTGTTTGAGGTGTAACCAGACACTTGTGAAGAACAGCTTGTAACTGGATTAGAAATATTGTTTATTTTAATTAACATTCGTTCATGCATCGTACTGTTTTTATTTTGTACACTGAATTCCTGCATGGAATGAGATTTTAAGTGTTTTCTTAATGAACTTGGATCTGTGTACCTTTTAGTGCATCCGAATACCTTACAGGCATACGGCTTCTGTGGACATTTAAATAAAATAAAATAAAATTTGTTTTGAATAAAAGACTCACAATAATATAAAAAGGGGTGGTAAGTCAAAAACAATGTCATCAAATATGTCAATCATTTTTGAACACAATAAACACTTTCTGATGATCTGCTATCAAAGCTACTGGTTTATTAGACGAACGTATGAATTTACAATTAGTTATTGTATGAGTATAAAATGCTAGTCGGAGGGAAAGAAAAAAGTAAAAACCGGGATTCTAACTACAGATTCAAGTGCAGGGATGAAGTTTATATCAGCTGCAAGCAAAGTGAATAACTGGACTTTTGCAACGTTGTGTTAATTAAACTGCGATGTTCACTAGAAACAGGATGACTATTAAAATTGAACAACTCGTGATTTTCCGTGATATTATTACTTGTTTTATCTTTGTAAAACTACTCATTATTACTAGCGCTGTAAGTAGTAAGAAAAAATCTGGAATTGTGGATTTCAACATTTATCCCGTGTATTTGTCATTCATTTGTCTTTTTATATTTTTAAACCGGAAGTACGTCCTTCACGAGTACTTCAGCAACTATCCACAAAAAGGTTTTGATTGCTGCCTCGTGTTTTCTGTTTCCGTTGTCCAAAGCATGTTTTAACTTACTTTGTTCTCTCTTTTTGCGCTTACTTATGCTTAAAGTATTCTCAAGTTAATTCACGTTTTGATAAAAAGAGGCTAAGAGACAATTTTCACTTTGATTTTGTTGTGCGCCTTTCAATTGTCTATCACCACTTCGTTTCACCTAAAGTCTCTCTTTCTTCTCTGACTGTATATTCATTCTGTTGTGTAAAATATGGAGCCATAGAACTTATTTATGTCGCGTAAGTGAGTGAAATTGAGTGCATTTATAAACTTATGATCTTTTGAAGTCATATATGCCGCCTTATCTAAGTCACATGATTTTTTAGAAAAGTACCTAATTCTTTCCTTGTGTTAACGAGAAAAATTGGAAAAATTCAATAAACATAACTTTACTGCTTGATTTAGAACATGAATATAGCGGTACAAAATGGATTTGCTTTATATCTAATCTCCATATGTTTTAGCATCCAGACCGAGTGATCATCATACAGACAAGAGAGATACTGCATCATGCTATATGCACGTATTGCTAAAAATCTTTATTTCTCTCTCACATTAACCACTTTTTATCCTATTCGCAAGTTACACATACATTATTTATTGGTTGAGTTTTGAAAGTAATATGTTGGTTGTTATATGAGTTAGAGAAAGGTACAAGTATCTGGGAGCTAGTAGTACTAATGAAAAGATTTCACCAGTCTAGAAAATGTAATCTAAACACAAAGACACGGTTTCAACTGTTTAAACAGCAGAATGTAAACAGAGAGTCTAGAGTGATTCATCTCAAAACAGATAAACATTTTGACAATTCGGTTAAAAGCGCCTATAAATTCACAATTTACTCTTCAACTTGCCTTCAACTCAGAACAGCTTATGCATAATTTAAATGACAATTGCTTTCAAATAGGCCAGTTGTTTATAACTTACAATATGTATATGCGTACGTTGGTGTTTGGCTCTGTCGGAACTGTTTGAAAACGCGCGATTACAGCCGTCTTGTTGACAGATGAACGGTCTTTCACCAGTATGCGATCGCATGTGGATTTTCAAATTCTCCAAACGTGAAAATGCTTTACAGCAATCAGGATACTTAGAATTTACCAAAAAAAATTACTTAAGTTGGAGAAATCGATAAATGAATATTGAAAATGGCTGAATAGTACAAACCACTAATAATCCGCCTTACGACATACAGAAAAAGAAAACAAACGAATTATTAAAGGGATTATTTTTGGCAGAAACAAACACCATTGCTATATTATAGCAGTTGTATACAAACTTCTTCATGAATCGGTTCAATGTTTTTACTTCTTAAATGCGTTGTTAAGATTACCTACCACTCATATCCATCGTATGTTTCATGCTAATGCCACGGAAGTAGCATCTTTTAAAGAAAGTCTTGGCTGAAAATGGATATCTTCCTCATTCCATAAACATAAATGTGCACCTAAAATCTACTACGTGTGTTTTGTTTTTGTATCTGAGAAAATGCTGCTTCTGAAAAATGAATTCGAAACGTATCTAGCTGATAGCGTACTGAAAAGAAAAACCTCAAAATATCTATAAAAGGATGTTCACTTTATCTTTGCCAATTGTAGTGCTCTTCAGGTTGTCATTACTTTCCAATAGCCTGAAGGATGAGATTGCATGTGTGTCTACCAGTCTACTTGTTTCTGTAGAGTTAAGTATATCGTTCATTCGATGCGCAGTTTATCCAGAAGGGTACAATAACATTGCGTGGGTACAAAGAGATGGAGATGGAGCTTGTAAAGAGCAATAAATCGACATTATGTAAACACTGATCATTTTTTCTAGACAACCTCTTCCTTTAAAGGTTTCTACGAGGCGAAAAATTACCCACAAAAAGCGCTACGTACCCACACTATCTGCATTTATGAAGCTAAAAGAAGTGAAATTAAAAGGCCAGAACTTTGCATACACGAGACACTTGGACAGGCACTACTCCTTTCGTGGTCTTGGTCCGTTGACGTTAAATCAGTAATGAGATAGATAAAGATACAATACTGCTCCCTACTTCTTACGGAATGCCACACCTGCTCTGTTTCAGTGCTCTTTCAGATAATAAATGACTCCTGAATCATTTGTTTTATTGCAATAATACCTCATCTATAATTGTCTTTGTTTATCATATCTTAATCATATTGTGATAAGCACTCATTGACCCTAACGTCTAATCATTTATTAAATGTAAATATACAGGAAAAAAACGCGAGTAACTCTTAAACAGAATCGTGTTTGAGATAAGCATACTCAGGTTCATATGCTGCTCACTTTTCATATTTTGGAAATTCTAAGTCAAAATGATAATCCAAAAAAGTGAATTTCTTGTGTTTTTTTAATTCATTTCATCGGTCAGAACTATTAATTGTGAAATAAATGCATAATGGTGACTGTCGTCTTGATTTTCCTGTAAGACCATATGTAGATGCTGAACAAAATAACTGCATAGTAATTTCTGACTTTTAATGGTCACTACATAAAGAAATCTACCTTTAAATAGCTTGTCCCATTGATTCTCAGCTTTGTTTCAGCTGATTTGCTTCATTGTGAATGAGTTGATAAAAGAAAATTGTGAAACATTCAACTGGAAGTGCATCAATAGTGAAATCAGCACCAGCTACGAATATGCTGGTAAATGCAGTGTTCGAAGGGAACGTGAATAACTGGCTTGACCTCTGTTATTAACCTGAGGTCAAACAGATTACGTGGAATGCTCAAATGTATTGCATTACGTTGATATGTGACTCAGTAAATTTGTAGTAACTCATACTTTTTTTATTATAAGTCTCTTACTTCCAGTATGATAGGACATCACAAAACTACTGAGAATATGATTTGTGCCCCTTTGCGCTAAAGAAAGATTTACATACCAGATTGTCGATTCCTTGTTACTTTAGCTGTTCTGTATTTTGGATTACTCTGCCCAATAGCTTTCAGTTTCTGCCTAATAAGGAGGTTTCTCCAACATGTTTCTTTTTTACAAAAAAATATATATTTATATGCTCAGTGGCATGCCTTTTAGTATTGTATCTACTTATATGGTGGCATATGTGTAGGTGGTTTAACTGGGAAAACGGCCAAAAAGTGATTTTTAAAATGACTCAAATTTAAAGAGGAATATGGATGAAAATGACGAGGGGAGAAACGTCCTTCTTAGTAAAATTTGAGAATAATAAGGAAAGTATTTTCTAATTCTACCTAGTGTATGAAAACTGCTATGTAAGTCGTCTTCAAAATTATTCAGGGAAAGTGAAATGTAATTCATGTACAAAACTCTCCGACACAATCAGTCGTTAAACGCTTGCAAATCAGAATGAAATAAGTATTCATGGAGGCCTATGGAAGTTCACCAGTAGACAGGCAGAATAAATCAGTCAAACAACTTTCATTAGGAAACGCTGAAATTTAATTGACATTCACTTACTAAGCATTTACTCGGTCGATCACCATTATGAATACGCAGATGAACTATTAGCTTATATCTGGCGTTAAATGGTTTTAGCTGACGTCGACAGCCTTCCCAGTAACAACAGTATTCTTTGCTAGATATATGAGAAGCGACATGTGACGTTTCAATGTGGTTTACAAAAGATTTATGATCTGTAAAAGCCTGCACACAGAAAAAAATCATCGGAAGAAACAAATTATTAATAATAAGCATCATTTTGTCGTTAAGTTAATGAAACGAAATAATTATTCAAAACAGAGAACATTCTCTAGACAAATGCTATAATTTTCTGCGACATGACGTACATAACTGACTAATATATGTCAGCTAATTGAAATCAACAGACTGTTTATACTGTAGTGGCTGGACACTAATGTTTAGTAAGAGATCTGTTTATTTGGCGAATTGATATGGGGTTATGGCAAAATACTAAAACCTTAGATTGAAATTTCTGTTTGATTTTTTTTATCTTCAGTCCATGCTTTCTACACTGTCTCACAAGGATTTCCATTTCTTCCCTTCCCAACGCAATTCATCACTCCCCTGATCAAGATTCTCATTGAAGACGTTACACAAAGTAAAGTACTATCAGTATTACACGCCGCAATACTACTAATCAGTGTAAAAAGGTTCATCAGGTGTGTATTAATTATTCGGCTTAATTCCTGTCCAGTAGATACTGCAGGAATCTGTCATTTGATTGGTTATTGTCATTGATGATTCCAATTGTTGGCGGTTTCCATTCTTTGTTGAACTCATCCATTTTCAGTCATCCGGAGTGTATCAACAACTGCCAGTGTTTCTGATAACTTTTTCAGGTTCTACAGTTATACTGTCTATACTGACAGTATTAATGTGACTTTGATAAAATAAAATCATTCAGATCGAAAAAATCAGAGAAGTGTATGGGAGTGAAATCGATAGTAGATTACACATCCAGTCATGTTTCCAGCACTGTCCGGTTTTCAGTGGTCCTCAAACTCCTGTCAGTGCCTCAAATAACTTGAAATCAATCAAATTTCTATAAACTAATATTCAAACATGTGTATGTGATAATCTGAGGTCAAAGTAAATAACCATGAAGGACAATAAAGAAAACAATTTTTCCCCAGTATAATTACAGATTTCATATTAACAAACAGGGACAAAAAGTGAAAAGGGATTTTCGATGCATGTTTATCAGTGGGTACGGAAATAACCAAAAATAAATAAACAAATTCAATTTTTTCGCGTAGTTGCAAATATAAAAAGGTAAATGACTGAAGTTAATCAACCCACACTTCTTAAGTCGCATAGATCAATAATCTTTGGTTTCATGGATTATTGTCAAGCCTCCTCTAATACTAATGTGCACATCAAGTAATAAAAGATGAAATTCCAGAATAGTATATGGCACCAAACAAACAGATGTATTGATGAACTTCAGATATGATTAATAGTGGTAATTAACTTATTTGCATTTATCCTCATTGACAGACACTAAGTGTGATTTTATAAAATCAGGTTTCTTTTTCAGTTAGTCAAGTTCATATGTGAATGAACTTAATACCTGTTAAGACCAACCAACAGGAAACTGAAAATAATAATTTGAATATATAATGACGTACGTTGGATGCCCAAGAGGAATCCATAGTGTCCCACTTACCTAGTCAAACATGTTTTTGTTTTCGAGATATGGTATGCTAATTTTAGTCTTTGTGAGGACAATATCTCACTAAGATGCAGGTGCATCTAGTTAACATATCTCTAATAAGTTGAAATGCTCGGTCTGCACACCAATTATAGCCGACATTAGCCAAACAACCTACATGTACATTTGTGAGTCTACTCTTACCGTAAGAGTAAGCATCTTTACGAAGTAACTTATATTGTTAGGAACCACTTAGATTCATATTTATGTATACACATATGTGGCTTTTTGTCCAATTAATTCGTTTAATTCTGTTAGCATAGCAGACATTTCAGCAACAGTACATGCAACAGTTCAGTTTTGTCAGTTATATGTTTCCGCTTAATTTTCATCCTCACTAGAATAGTAATCCAACTTTTGAATTTTGATAATCTGCTGACACTTCAAGATTTGTGAGGAATTGAACAAAACTGCTACATCTGACTGAATTAATTTTTGCGACTTAAAAAAAATGACTCGAATGTAATTCACTGAAATTCTGAAAGAGAACAGCCGCATCCAGCTTTAAAAAGCAATCCCTTAGAGTTTGATTTATTCAGCTTTTACAAACGTTTAATTATTTCGGGTTACAGAAGTGGAATGTATTCATGTTCGGGCGAAAGGACAAATTCTGTCTTATCTAACTAATTACACTGATTTAACACAATGAAATTTCATGGGTACTCTTGAAATACCAGTAATAATTTTTTCACAGTCTCACTCGGAAGTCGCAAATCTTTAGTAACTCGATTTGTGTTCATTTTTCTTGCCGCAATATGTGTTAGTCATTATGGAGTGATAAACTTCCGACTATATTTGACACCGGTATTTCTTTGTCACCTGCAGTCCAACCTGATGTATAAAGTGTGAAGTTTAAATAGGTAATCTGCAATTATATATCATAAATTAATGGCATGAATAGTGTATGATTATCAAATCCCTTCGGGTAAGATCATGCAGTGTCAATAGAAATTCCTACTGTGAGGAAAATATCTACGAAAATGCAAATGTACAGCAGAGGTTTTAGTTTTCTCTCTAATCATCTGAGAAACGTCATCATCGTGAATAGTAATGTTTTTTAATCATGCAAATAAGAAACCAGTATGCAAAATAAAATAGGGAGAGATGGGACACACACTGAAGAGACCGTTGAATGACATCGCCTGAATGTAAAACGACGAGTTGAAAGTCCTAGAGTTATATCTAGAAAATTCGTGTGAGACGGAGATGAAACTTTATGGGCAATCGCAGAGTGATCTCAAGAGGAATGTACAGAACAGAATAAAATAAAGATGAGTTACTGAATCCCAAAGTTCCACTCGGAACCTATGAGAATTACTATAAGAGTAATGCAAATAAATAATTTACTATTACTTTTCAGTATAACTTATTCTGATGAACAGTGTGGCTTTTCTGATTCACTGGTGGAATGGTTGCCAACTAAATGGGGGTCTTTAGTTTGATTCATGTCCGACGCACTCATAAACCTTGTCTAGTTTACTAGCCAATAGTAAGTAGAAAAGAGTGGGGCCGTGAGGCTGGTAACTTAACCCACAGATATAACACCACTGTTGCTGAAACTTCAGAAACTTGAGTCCCTATGTTCCACAGCCGATACAAAGAATAAAAAAAGCACTGCAGCAACAAAAAGATTAGGTGATTAGTCAGCCGGGAAAATAGATCAGAGTCACAGAAAAATATAAGTGCTCACTAGATAACACGATTTCCATCGACATATTAAAGTGCGCGCTCCCACCAACACGTCATTTTTCCTCTTTGAATCAGAGTCAATAACAGCTTCTTGATATCCCAGGGGAGCAGAATAGTCGGAAATCGGTGGTTGTTGATAGATCGTCTCAGGTTTCTGTAACTTACTGTCAGCTTGATGGTCGAAGCAGCTACTTGTTATGGAATACTCATCGTAATTGATGGGCATAGTATTGCACTGAGAGTGCGTGAATGAATTGATTGAAGATTTCTGTGCACAGTTTATCTGAATTCTTCGCCTCTTGTTATCAGCACTGTTGCTGGAAAGATAGCAAGCTCCACTTGAGTCGTATGCCACTGGTATATATGATCCCTCAAAGGATTGCGATGTCTTTGCATTCTGTAGGAATAATGAGTCTGAAGAATAACGGTGAGAATACTCTTTAATGCAGTATAACTGATCGTTGAAGTCACTGATGACTAATGCTGGGGAAGTTTCAGGGTTCGCTTTATAATCCTGATTTGTTAAAGTCTCATCCTCACCTTGACATCTGAGCTGAATAACACTGGAAGATAGTGAGCAGAATTCCGTATTATACTGCTTCTTGTTTTGTAAAGGATAAGGTGAAAAAAGGCTAGGGTTCTTTTTATGAGTGTCATGGCACACAGTATCGTTTTCACAAGGAAGTGCTGACTGAGCATTTGAATGGTTGTATTCGGCATCCATAAGCCAATCCATTCTTCCTCTCTAAAATAAAAAAGATGAATTTAACCTCATAAGACTGATAAATAGTGTTCACTAAACATAATACAAAAAACTGTATGAGGAACTTGATTTTATGACAAATAGTAGTAACTGTATATTTTATATACAAGTCTTCAGAAAAAATGAATTTCTCATAACAATAGAATTGCATTGTCTGTATCATTTGACTAACTGACTGAATTCTGCAGTATTTATTAGCCTAGGACACTTAGTTCTGCAGCAAGAGCACCTTTAAATGCCAATAGTGTTTATTCGTCTTCTTTTAATAAGACAATTCCTAGATGTTCTATATGTTGTTTCTCAGAGTTTAGGTTTTTCGCACCATTATGGTAATATCTGACTTTCACCAGCACTTCCACTTCTTATGAAATTTGATTTGTAGAAATAAACAAATCCTGCCTTTCTTAAAAACGAAAGCCAGTTAAAACATTCGGACCTTGTAGATAGTGAGAAATATATCCATGGTTATTATAGTTGAAATACACTATACTTGTTTAAATTAATATTTTTAAAAATTTAAGTAACTTACCTCAATTTCGGTGTCCTTTATCGAAAATATGATGAAAACTCTACCTCTACAAAAGATGAACTTATCTGAAAGTGTTTTGTAGCTCTAGGAGTTGCCTTTGTTTGTGTTTCCGCGATGTAGTTCATTCAGCGATTTCGTTTATTCATTATCACACACGAGAGTGACCAAGTTCCGAAACCTGTCTACTTTGGACTGTCATCTATAGTAAGTGAAGTGATGTTGTTTGGGAGCTGTATGCAAATTTATGAGATCTAAACTGAGTGTATTGAAATCACTTAGCAACAGTGATATGTATGAAGATCAGTTTTAAGATGATAAGTCTAACTTTTAAAGTGTCATATTGTTATCGTACTTTTCCACTTTTCCCACCTTCCTGGGTTTCGCACACATGCATTTTAAAGATCACAGATGATTTATGCAGATTTGATAAGTTCATACAGCGTCAAGACAGTCGTTAGTGTATATTTTTCACAGTAGAGAGCATCTGTGATTTTCAGGAGACTATCGCCGCTTAATATCAGTACAATGCAGAGAAACTGGATGCATAACTACGCACTGAAGAGAATATGAGACAAATGATCCGTGTTATATATGTGATTCATGTATAAATCCATCAGGTATCTACTCAAGAAATATGTCTGTCTCACCCCCTTGTAGTTTAAGTTGTACCTTAATGCTTATGAAAACTAATCATATTGCGTATCACGGTGGTAAATAATGAACAGAGTGGAATTTATAGCGATTTAATGTGTTTAGTCAAAATAGTGAGTTAGGTTGGTGTTGAATGTGAAGACTTCTTAGAATTCATTATGCATATAGTAGCAGTTTACCTAGAAATAAAGAATTTCGTACCATTGTCTGGAAAACTCCTAATATCAGGCTACATTAGCATTTTATGTATACAAGAATAAAATTTTGGTACACTGGTAGAGTATAATTTCATAATAGAATAATTCCGTTTATTGTAACTTACAGAAATACATGGTAACGTCACACATGAGTAAATAAATTATCCTGTTTCATTGTATATTGTATTAAGATTAAGATTATTCTACTGTTTAATTACAATAATATTTCATTTCTTAATAAACAATAAATGCGATCTATTCTGAACTATTAGAAACAATCGTAATTAAACGAAAACTGTGAAGAATAACATGCTAAATGTGTGACGTGAAGGAAAATACAAATGCATTCACGCAACCGAATTTTGGGATTTACCCACTGTGTTTATAATTCAGATAAAAGTAACATTATTAAGATAGCATAAATCTCTTTGAGCTGTAGTTAAATAGTTGACGCGTGTCCTATAAGTCAGTGATCCTATTAATAATATTAGGAAGTTATATTGAAGGTAATAGCGTGAACAGTCTTCAACGACAATAATCAGGGTGTTTCTCATACTTTAAGAAACTAAAACTCTCTAGCCTTTGAAAATAATTAGGCTGCAGTCAAATAAGAATTTTGTGCTTCTTTCTTTCAGACTACTGCCACTTTGTGTCAGGTGTGCAGATATAGTAATGTGTTACATGTACCTGTGCGAGAGTTCTCTGTTATTCATTGCGTCTGAATGCCTAGATATGAGTATTTTTCTCCGCATTAAACTGATATATCTTCATTCAGAAAAAAACACAATATTTTTTTTGACATTACCCTTGTGAGTTGTAGAAAAAGAATCACTCAACCCTGGAGTAGATCAAGTTATTATTGAATAAATTTAAGACTATGCAGTTATTGATCACATCAGTTAACTTACTTTGGTTATATTCACGTGATAGGGAATTCGAGTAAGGCAGGACACTGACACCGTCTAAGAAGTATAACCACTTCAGTTTATTTATTGATTCAGAGCAATTTCGCCAGCATCATCATCATCTACATTCATGTATCTTTTGATTTCGAAAAGCGACAAAAGAAAATTTATTTCTTTGTGTTTTTCACACAGAAACGCTACATTATTGTGCAAACATACTTACATACACTTAGACAGATTCGATTGGTACATAATGTAGGCTAATTTATTTAAAACTAATTTATTTATAATTTTTGAAAGTCAGTTATGCGCTTTGAATGTCTAACCAAAAACGAAAGAAAACAAGTATTTACATGCTCATCATAGTATAGTACTGCGATTTATTTCCTTTATTCTATTCTCTTACAATATAGATTTGAATGAGAAAATCTCTGCTTTCTATTCTTCAGTCGAATTTATAATTCTATAATTTTCATTTAATACTGCGAGTGAATGGTCTATGTCATGAGTTTGTGTGGATAGTAGTTATTAGCAGTTAATAAATGGTCTGGTTATTTAGTTAGTTAGTCGTTTTGAAAGTGAATATATACATATATATACTCTACATGACCATCCAAGTTAAAATATTGCCTTGCAGAATCTCAACTGTAACGCTTCCTACGAATTTGATAAAATCGTCTACTGCATACACTATGATTTAATAGGTCCGATTGAAACTGTTCAAAATTCAAACTGAGAGAATCCTATGAAATAAGAGATAAGATTAAAATTAGAGAAAAACAACAATTTTAAGGTTTCGAAGAAAGCTCAGCTTTCACACCACATACAGCCACAAATAGACGTATACTAAGAAGAGACAAAGTGCCAGTCGTAGCTGAAACGTAGTTGAAAGGATCGAGTGATACTGAAGGCTTCATTATTCATATATACAGTGCAGTAATATTTACTGATGACGTTTTGAGCACAATTTATTGCTCATAATCATAATTATTGTGTAAGTATCTTGATATGATTATTAGCAATAAATTGTGCTTGCAATGTGATCAGCAAATATTACTGCATAACACTGTGTGACTTCATCAAAATAAAATTTTATCCATAATGGAGTTATACCCTACCACAGTGCCCAAGTTTTATCGTTATATTGGCACTCAAAGCTTCTTTCTTTGAATCACTTGAGGATCTATGAGATAGGAATGACTCAGTGCCTGTCCTGAATATCCCGAAAATCTAAAACTCTCATAAAGTGCTCCAACTCTGAAGATGAGGTGTCAGCATTGGCGAGTAATATTTCATAGGATTATCAGTAATAAGTTGTATTCTCAACATCTTTTTACTGTATAACATGCTTGAATTAAATAGGAAAAATACAATCACCACCTTACTGACGTCCGCTACACTTATTTCTTGATCAGTTTTAAATTCATACTCCGATGGCCTTCAACCCCAACTTAGAATAGTTCTCTCTCACGGTGACACCGAATAACTGTAAATATTATTTTTATTTTTACTTATGTTGCTAACTTTATTATCAATATCATGTTGTGCTATTGTCGCATATTTTAGTCTTAGCTTCACAATTTATTCTCTATTGTTCCCCCTTAGTTTTTCCCGCGCTACTGAAGAAAGACTATAACATATTACGCAGGATGTTAAAGGCTGTCAGCAGGGTAAGCAAAGTGCCACTTAACCAGCTTGTTAATATTCTGGTCGACAGGCACATGGACTCATGTGAGAAAATGGGCCAAGTCCATTTTATCTAACTCACACCACCCTCTCCACTCACAACTCTCCCCTTGCATCTCATCAGGTAAAACCAGAAGCCAATATAGAAAACTATATGCTCGCACCAGCAAGTACAAAAACTCAACCATACCCTACTTAGCTCGTGTTCTGTGTGATAAAGAAAGCATTAGGCGTGACACCTATAATTCATTAAATAGTCAGTAGAACAACTGGATCTCGTCTTTCCAACTCACATCATTAATAGGCACAACATTTTCTTTCTTTCTTTTCCTTTTCTCTCTCTTTTTTTCCGTTATGTGCTGCTTTGTTTCTTTCTCTCGTTTACGCCCGTTAATATGACAGCTCCCACTTTTCTAACACTTTCAAACACTGTTTCAGCTTTACGTTTGCTACCGACATGCCAGTGTGTTGTTGTAATAATGAACTGAGATTTCCTCAGCCTATGTAGAATTTTACTTATTGATAATGTACTAACTGGATGCAATACTGTAGTAAAAATGCTGAGGATCCCATTCTGTATCGCATGTACTGTTTTGGAATAAAGCAGATTATTATTATTACTTATATTCGCATTCTGCTTAAATACATACGATTACACTGTTCCATATCGCTTCAGATATCTATGATTAATACTCTATTACGTAACTGTAAAGCCTGATAAGAATTTACGGAAAATACGTGCCTGCTTAAACTATTCTCCGTGTTTATCATAATGGGAATATTTAAATTACTGATTTCCTTTGTATTCATTAAAGTATTTCAAGGTGATTCAATGCATTTGGAAAGAAATCCTGTTTGTTGATAGACGTACCTGTTCAAATGCCTCTATAATAATGCAGGAAACACTTAAATTAGGTTCGTGCTTACTGGTACTTGTTAACCAGGCATATCTGCAACCTCAAACGACCTGACGTTCTCCTGAGGATACGAAACCTTGTCCTGTAGTGCCACAATCAAACATGTTACCACTAAGCTATTCAATCAGTCGTGTTTCCAATGTGTTTACCAAGCTAGGTGATTTACAGTTGCTGTGCTTCCAAATATTCAGCAGCAATTCGAAGTTCACAACAATGCTGATTAACTCAGCTTGATGTACATATTGCAAGCTTTACTAACTGGTATTTGATAGGCAACATTCACGTACTTGATATCCAAAAAATAAAAGAGAATAAATACTTTCAGTATGTATGCGTGATAGTTTCAGCACAGTTACAAAGATGTGAAGATTTATTGCTAATGTTGAGGAACACATCCTAAACCCCTTCCGATATCATCTGACAACATTAATTAACTCCTCTTTCTAAAGTAATTATATTAGTTATATCTATGTTCACACTAGTTCATGAGCTTACTTATTCGGAATATCAATCAGTAAAAGCATCACTAAAATTAATTAGATAAAGCAATAAGAAGACGTAATTTGTCTGAATCGTGTAATGTATTTGCGCAACACATTTCGAACAATCTGATCACACACGGACTTGTCATAGGAATATATATGAAATTAATAAAGAGGTAAGAGGTGAGAAAATAGACTTAGGTCAAGTTAAAAGGACATATTCAAGGTCAAAGTAACAATGAAGACCACTAAACCAAATAACAGAGGCAATAGTACATCTGTTATGGTATCAAAACAAAATTTACCAAGGAAGGTTTAATGTGATGACGAACTGTTTTTGAACGCATAAAGGTGGCTTAAACTTTCTAATTGCTAGGGCTTCCACAAACTTTAAGATACGTCTCAAACACGTTTTATATATAGTTTTAAAAGATCTGTTAACGTCAATTTTATGTCCTGTCTCTATAATATGTTTAGCAATTGAAGAGCTAGGTCTCCTGTTCTCACCGTTATTAGGTTCTGAAGATTCCATTTGAATGTACGTGTGGACACACATACATAGGGAGGACTCATCGATCTCTGCAAGTAAGGGCTTCAAAGCATGTTCCTAAATGGCTCCAGAAACAAATGGAATCTTCAGAACCTATTAACGGTGAGAACAGGAGACCTAGCTCTTCAATTGCGAAACATATTATAGAGACAGGACATAAAATTGACGTTAACAGATCTTTTAAAACTATATATAAAACGTGTTTGAGACGTATCTTAAAGTTTGTGGAAGCCCTAGCAATTAGAAAGTTTAAGCCACCTTTATGCGTTCAAAAACAGTTCGTCATCACATTAAACCTTCCTTGGTAAATTTTGTTTTGATACCATAACAGATGTACTATTGCCTCTGTTATTTGGTTTAGTGGTCTTCATTGTTACTTTGACCTTGAATATGTCCTTTTAACTTGACCTAAGTCTATTTTTTCACCTCTTACCTCTTTATTAATTTCATATATATTCCTATGACAAGTCCGTGTGTGATCAGATTGTTCGAAATGTGTTGCGCAAATACATTACACGATTCAGACAAATTACGTCTTCTTATTGCTTTATCTAAATTCATAAAGGGAACTAATTGTTGTAAAATTAATTAGCTTTTCCCATTTCTTCAAATTTATAGGAAGCATAAATATTGAAGATGTCTGTGCATGTTATCGGAGTAATCTACATCAAATTTTTCCTAATCCCTTTATGAATAGTAAGTTACTTCGAAAAACTTGACAATATTTAGATTAAAATGTTGCTACTACAGGAGAAGAAAAGTACTTTGGACTTTTTTATATCCAAAAATAGTTACTGTCATTATACGTGCATAAAGCTCACAAGTTACCACATTTAATTGATAAGTTCTGCCTCCTTTGTATGTTCTTTTTATTCTTATACGGTTCATCCTACCACAAATCCTTTCATATCCACTTTTAAAACTGTTGTAGGTATAAGGTGATGATAGCACAGTTTTCTACAGTAGATCAGATGAGCTTGTAGAATTCCAGCTATGCAGAAACAGGCGAACTACTGATATTGAACTCTATAAGGTTCCCAATCCAGTTTGATAAAATTATGAGTCTCATCAAATTAAGGTCTTTTCAAATTAGGATTCAACTTGAAAGTTACTGGAAAAACCTAACAGGATAATTTTATTTCATAAAATACAGTGACACAGTGTAAACATAACACTGATTACAATACTAATTAATCATCAACAACCACCAACCCTTCAATTCATAACTAATTTCACTGTATCTCAGATTAAAACCAGGTAGTGTGGAATTTACCAGGCACCATGCGAATACAACGTCTTGTGCTCTTAAGATATCTACCTGACAGTATTTTTCTGTTCAAGGACTGAGTTAGATTTCAGTACTTCACGTTTTCCATTGTTTTGGCGAAGCGTTTATTCATGAAGAGCTCAAATAAAGGTTCAGTTATTACTCCATGTATAGTAGTATACCACTGAGTAGTTCACGAACAAAGTGAACACCTTCTTTACCCATAAAAGTTTGCACTGACGATTTGTTAGTGACCGAAATTCCATCTTAGTAGCCTACAGCTAATAAAGCTAAAGTTCCCGAAATATTTCTTGAAGAAATTCTTCCT